CATCCTCTTGAGAAAATGGTTGATGGTCACCGAGCAACAACAAAAGAGTCACCGCAAAGCACGTTGAAAATGCTAAAGTAAGTAACTCACCCTTCTCCTTCCCTAAACCAAACCAATTTTATCGATTGACCCGCCCACCCACTTCCCTAAACCTCGTTTTTGTGGTCAACTCATTTCTGCATTCGCTGACGTACATGGCGAGCTAATGGGACAAACTGGTTATTGCGGGAAAGCTGTTCATACAGAGATAAGCGTTCAGCTGGTAAGCGCGAAAAGAAATGGTGTCATACCACCCCGTAGCGTTCGTTCAAAAAATTAAATGCAGCAATAAGTACTTCTGGTCACATAATTTGCAGTCTCCAGAATTGTATATAGGACTATGTTTTCAGAATAAGCCTATGTTGCGAATCGGTCATGTACACTAATTCGGGCACTGATAAGGACAGCGATGAGCTTGGGACAGTGACTACACCCCTGATGCATAAGAACGTCCTCATCAAAATTGGAATTTATAATGTTATATATTCATTTTACAAGTAATTTTTAAAAGTACAATATGGATAACTCATTTAATTGTTTCATATACCAGCAACAAGAAGTTATTTTAAAGTAATTTCCAGTTTATGTCTGACATTTCATACCAAAAGGACAGCGACCTTTTTGTTTACAAGTTTTTGCACGTTCAAGTGGTTGTAGTCATGTGATTTACGTTTGGAATAAAGAGGTGGTATTTCATTTAAAATAATGAGGTCAGATGTGCCATGTGCTAGTTTCTGACAGATGTCGATATCAGATAACAAGTATAAGTGTAGAGATTTTAAGCTTTATGTAGATATATTTCTCAAGTCTGCAAGGCACGTATTCACTAAAATTCCAGTCCGTCTGTCAACCCCTGAGGGTTCATAGCAATGAAGCTACTGAATCTGTCGTAAAGGATGCACGTCTGGACTGAACACCTCCCCTGGGGAATCATCAGTTTATAGCAATCAATGATTGGCTCTTTTACTAGAAAACAGGGCTTTTTCACTAGAGCGTACATATTTACTGATGCATATTTCCCCATTCACAACTATATAAGTGTCTATGACTTGTGTATTATATAGTACTTGTTAGAAGTCCCGTTTACACCTTATTTAACAGTCTGCTTTTGTCAATCCAATTACATGTAAATTATACTAAATATAGGTGTAACAAGGTCTAAAATGTTGTGAGTTTGTACACTTTCAGCTGGTCCCAGAGGTAGTAAAACTGACTTAAATGGGTTATTTTCATCATCTAGACTAATGTGGTCAAACACATTCAAAGGATAAAAAAAACCCAAAGAAACAAAGAAAAAACACCTACTCTCCACCGACCGACCAAAAAAGTGTGGATTATGAGATGTGTTTTGAAGAAGTCCACCAAAAAAAAGCACTCATACTTCAATGCATTGTACTAAAACATGAATTAAGATCAAAATCATAGTTGACATCCTCATCCTTTTCTTTTGCTTGATTTGCTGCTCACTTTTAGCCCATGTAAGTCGTGTTACATCATAACGTGGTGTAGAGCTTGCCAAAATAAGACAGAAAGGACTCAACAAAATTGGAACAAGGGTGGCCACAAGAGATATTTGAATGCATGTTAATAAGATATTGGAATGGTATTAGCTGACCACTTGTGATCCTACTACTAAAATGCAATTTAACAGAAGCAACTAGTAATAACTTCATATGTGTGTACAATTATTTCTACTAACCACAACAACAGTCTACTAATATGCTATTAAGAGTTATCAGACATGTTACTTGCAGTCATTATTATATAATAAAGGAGATTAAGTATTGGCCCAGTGATACTTAATCTTTGCATCACTTTTGCTTAATTTTAATTAGTCTGTTTTCTATGAAGCTGACAGAGCCTGAAAAACAGGTTGTCTGACTTATGATAGCTCAAAAAGGGGTTTCTCTCATCAGCAAAAAAATAAAAATACATATATTTAGGCTGGAGGCGAGTGATTATAAAACACTCTAAATAGGTGTTTGGCCAATGCATCATCAACATTAGCTTTTGTTGTTTTGTCTGGTGATTAAAAATGTGAGTACTTATGGGGGTGACAGAATCACATTCATATAATATCAGACTCATTGAAGCATATGCATTAATTTTCAAGTAGATATAAATATTAATATGCACAGAAAGTGCTTTAAAATGTGCAATTATTATTCAATGTTTGATGTAATCTCAACTGAAATATGAAGACATAGAGTAGCCTCTGACCTTAAAACTGTACCTCTGACCTTAAAACCCTAAAAAACAGCCAACAGTCAGTGTCAGTGAATGAGAGTGGTTAAACTCAAGCACATCAAGCAAAAAGGAAATAAGAAGAGTCTGGAAGAAGGCAGGACCTGTGAGATACTATAGAGCAGGGGTGTTCAAACTTTTTCTTATGAAGAAGGGCCAAAAACCAAACTGGTTGAGGGCTGTGGGCAGAAGTTAAATATACCAAATAGTGTTAAATTCAATGGTCCATGAGGGATTTCTTAATTTATTTCCTAAAATTTAAAAATAACTACAAAATAAAACATTGCATTAAAATATATTAACTAATGCAATATATAAAAAAAAATAATTTCTAATAGAATTACTACAGTAAAAACATAAACAATCCCATTAACAACACAATAGAATTCAGTGCTGAAGACACCAATCTGCACGTGCCATTGATTTGATTTGCTCCTTGATGTGTTGTGCATTACCCTCTAACTGTCCAGTGACAGTATTTACATTTTTTAAAAGTCAGATTAATTTACAAAACAAAATAGACAAATGTTTACATTAAATTTGAAACAAAAATCTCTGTCAGCGACATTCACCCCAACTAAGCCTCCCCATCATTCACCCTCTCTCCTTAAATGGGACGGTAGGCCAAATCAAAGGTTAGCATGGGCCAACTTCGGCCTCTGGGCCCTAGTTTGGGCATCTCTGCTATAGAGCTTTTGATTGGTCACAAGATTTGATTGAAAAACTAAAGTATAAGGTGATCTGACTTGTCAGTTTTAAAGCACACTCACTTAAACATATTCTTAAGACTAACATACTGATACTAACATCTAAAAAAAAACTTTCTTTTAAATTAATAGAACATTTAAAAGCATTGCTCCATCATGACAGTAGTTAAGAAAGGAGTAAATGAAAACAGTACTGGTGTATTTGAATAAATTTGGTCAGAACAAGAGCTGACAGTGCAAGTTTTCTGCTGAAAATTCTATGAGATGATTAAAGTTAAAATGTTCATCGCATATATTTTTACTTTTTAAATGTTTTTACAAAAACTGACAGATTAATTTACATGCTAGTCAAACAATACTGTGTCTTTGTATCCGGTAGTTTTATAAATGACAAATGTGGATCTAAATTTTAACTGCAAACATTACAACTATTGTATTTAAATCCAAAATCAAACAAAAAGTGCTTCAGGGGTAATTAATGTGTCAGTGCTCTTTGGATAAGTGATTCATAAAAATAAACAGCAAAATCAGAAGTTCAGGGCACTCAACGTATGTGAAAAAAAATTCAAAAGACGTTATAACATGTTAATAAAGACTTTAAGTTTTTTTGAGTGCCTTGGACTTATGATTTTGTTGTTTACATCTATTATATTTCGAATTCATACGAATTAGCCACTAAATCAAAAAGGTATGAATTGCAGTGAGATTGCGTTGGTTTTCTCACCCAATATTTCGGAAACACTGCTTACAGAATATTGTGAGTTTCATGCTTGTAATTTTGACTTTGTGCTGATGTTCAATGATGTTACTATATCCTGAGGTTAAGAAACAGGAGTTTAAAATACCTAAATACGCATAAACATAGCTAACTAGCATTCTAGTTGACATGGCATTGACATGAGTATTAAAAAGTATCATATTGGTAATAATGTGATCTGAATGTACTACATTCATCATTTATAACATGACATTTCAGACAGACTGTTTAAATATACAGGCAGTATATACTTTTTATGTTGCATGAAATATGATAATGACCACTCATATCAATTTTAGTCAGCTTATGCATGGAGACACCAGTGTATCCTGACAGCATAAATAATACATAATAAATAAGAAAAATTCTCAATACATGATGTTTGTATTAAATGTAAAAAAGAAAACAATTATGTTAGCAATTAAGAAATCAATTGCTAAATTATTGATCTTATTATTGTAAATAGTAGCCTAGTATTGTTTATTAGGTTATATTTATTATATATTAGACTTCGAGGATGAAAGACCCGATTTCTCACTACATTTCTTTGTTGCTTGGTGACAGGATTCTTTTGAAACAATTTTCAATTGCTGAGAAGAAATATATTTACACAAACTGTCAGCTTTTTACGCAAGTTAATTTCTGAACTGTTGTCGTCTGTGTTTATACAATTCCTGTCCTTGTATATACAAACGTGAAATTTATTTCACTTCAAACTCACACACAAAACAAAACAGTCAAACTAGGACGTGTAAGACCGTCAGGACACGGTTACAAACCGATGAAGTGTCAGTCTGAAACTAATCGACGCATTTCATGGCGCGACTTGCAAAACCGGGAGCAAAGGTTAAGCGCTGATTCTGAACTAGGCTATTCGTCGACCTCATTCAAGAATAATTTCTGGAAAACACTTTCTGGCGACAAGTGGAGAGAAAGGAGATCAGCTGGGGAACTCTGTGTGTATCTGTGTGTGTTTTCTCCATGGTTGTTTCATTTTCACTGAAAGCTCCCAGAGCCCGAGGGGATCTGCAGGTTTGTGTGTGACAGGTTGAGCGGTCGCTATAGGTGGGAAGTAAACAGGAGGACGGGAGCACGAGCACCATCTGTTTACCGGGACAGGACCCAATATCGGGGAAATCCGGCCGGCCACACAGCGACAGGCTGTCGAAATCTAACTTTACCCCTTAACACAACATTCAAAACACTCAAGGTGACTTTTCTCTCACACAAAGACAAGGAAGTCCTCCACTCACCGGTAACTCCACATTGACATCCGATCCGTCCAGCAGCAGGACTCTGCATGTGATGGCGTCTTTGCTGTTGCCCGCTGCGGGGATGTGCACTACGGCTCCCCCGGTCACTACGGTCGGCGCGTGAATCACCTGCTGCTGGTGCGCCTGGAGCACTGCGTTTCCGCCTCTAACGTTACCGGTCCCGTCTACCTCGCTCGGCGGCCGAGCGTTTCTTTTTGACCGACGGCTAAACGTCCTGCGCAGAAAGCCCATCATCTTCCCCCGCGAGACAGCGCTTTAATTAATCAGGGAAAACGGCACCGATACCGGACCGCTCAAGAAGAAGGCATCCAGCTGTTTCCCAGGCTTTCCACGACGACGAAAGGCGGCGTCTACCGGACTCAGCCGTGCAATGCAGAGGGAAGAAGTCGGCGACCTGTCACGAGCTCCGTTTCCTCGTGTCGTACGGGCGACAAAACAAGAGCACACCTGCCAGAAGCCACGGGAAGATGAGGTACTCCGGTCCTCCCGCTCATTTAACCTCGGATTCGGCCAAAAAGTGATCGCGCTTTAATTAAACTTCTCCTTTCGCTCACAGAAGTCCAGGCTCAGCTGACTGATGTCGCGTTAGTTGCTCTCTGTTATTGACCGAAACTGATGTACCTCTCAGGTAAGTCAACCAGAGGAACTGGCCAGGCAACCTGTTCTGCGCAAGCGTTAAATCTCAGGGCAACACTCAAAACTTTTTTTTTCCCGTTTTCGGGTCGGTGTGTGCGAGGCAGCGCAACCTGCTGGTAAGCCAAACAGTGACCGGCGTCAGGTTACCTTCACTCGAGCCACCATCACTGAATACCCCAGCAACCAGCACAAATCAAGCAGCCTTAATACAATTGCGTCAAGTCTGCTGCGAGGAAACAATGTGCGCCAGTCGTCAGCATTTCACGCACGCTCATTTCAGCTCCCTCCCCTCCTCCAAAAGTCATCACCATGAATAAGAGAACAGGCACAACGTGATAAGAATTGCACATTTTATTTATTTATTTATTAACAGAGGTGAATTGAATTATTCTAGTTGTAATTTGACTGCACATAGGTCAGTCTCACAAAGTGTTCAGGTCACAATTTAGCTTTTTTTAAGTAAACAAAACAACAAATGTTTACATTTGTTCTGATGTAAATAAGGCTTATTCTATCAAATATTGATCTATAAATTGGTATCATGTTGCCCAAAAAATAATATTGTCACCAATTGTCATTTTATGCTGTGAATGACAACATTATTTTTTACAAACGACAGCCGTTTTCCCCCCACAAACTATACATGGCAAATCCAGAGAAACTAAGAATGTCCGAGAACACAAACATACATATAGAATATATTATATTAAAATATATATTTCTTCCGATAAATTTGAAGTTTAATGAGCTTATTGTAATCACCACAACTGTTTGTACCGCATGTGCTTTAAGACAGTTAAGCTCACTGTACCTCACCCCAGTTCCAATTATAAAACACAAAAACTAATTCTTATGACTGTAATATGACAAATGTATGTACATTTAAATATAATTGTTCGTGTAAGCATTTATGTAATTATGTAATTGCAAGAACATTACTGTAATACAGTGGTAAATAATACCTATACAAATACAATAGCCAAGGAGTTAATACAGTAATGAAAATGATAAGGGAGGGGTGGTAAATATGCACAATTGATCAGCAAATAATGTACTAATTTAATAAAATAAAATAAAATCACACTTGAAATTTTCTAAATAGATTGCATTTTATTTGACATTTTTATTTCCTTGTGTTTTTAGGATGAAATGTGACCTGAACATGTCTTGACAGATTTTGTGAGAATCACCTAAATATAGCACTGTGTTTGTGTGTGGGACAGAGCAAGAGAGAGTGTGCTGTAGGGTCCTATAAGCTTCTACGTGTCAAAGTGCTTCATGTTCTTCCTTGATCCGCACAGCTGTCAGGAGAGCCACAGCAAGAGAAGAGATTGCCCATCCGTCTTTTTCAAGGCACACCCTCTACTTCCTGCCTCGTTTTCATCCAGTCTTTACTGACAGCTGGATCACAGCGGCCGAGCTTCTTCCTTCACTTCTGTGTCCTCAAACACTCCTCTACCGTCCCCGTTATCAACTGTTAGGTTTGACTTTCTCTCTGTACACCCTCAGAATGGCCTCACACACAAAGGTGAACTGACACTGCAAAACAAACATGCACACAGGATAAGCAATGGCAGGAATCAGCGTAATATATTCAACCTTCCCACCTTTGCATAGAAAGCTATTTCAGACTGGGATTTTACATTCAAACCACCAAGAGTGACCCTTATAAGGGAATAAGGAAAAAGGGATTGTCCCAATGGAGCAAACAAATTGCTTTAAACAGGGGTGTCCAAACTCGATTCTGAAGGGCCAATGTCCTGCCGAGTTTAGCTCCAACTTGCTTCAACACACCTGCCAGGAAGTTTCTATTATATCTAGAAAGAGCTTGATTAGCTGCTTCAGGTGTGTTTTATTAGGGTTGGAGCTAAACTCTCCAGGACACCGGCCCTCCAGGACCGGGTTTGGACACCCCTGGCTTTAAACCTTCATTAATCTGTATGGCATGTATAGCTCTGGGGTCAGGACGTTCTCAGATATCATTCTCCTAAAATATTATGTTATTTATTTAAATACCATATGTTTTTTTAAAGGTAAATGTAGGTTATATGGTGCATTGTTCATTGCAGAACTCCTTTATTAAAAAAAGAAAGAAAAAAATTGTTCTGAAAAGATCAAGTCTCAGCCAGGTAATAAAAAGTAACACAAAAGTAACTCAAAAGTAACGTAATGCATTACTTACCATAACAAGTAACTAATTAACGCAACTAGTTATTTTTTTAAGGGAATAACTCAATGTTGTAATGCATTACTCACAAAAGTACCCTACACTGGTTTTGATAATGTTTTGGATCCTTTTCAGGACTTTGAACATTTCAGGACCGTTGCTGTATATGGAGGATCAGAGAGCTCTCAGATTTCATCTGAAATATCTTAATATATGTTCTGTGGATGAATGAAGGTCTTAGAGAATTGGAACGATGTAAGGGCGTGAAATTAATATTTTTATTTTTGGGTGAACTAACCTTTTAAAGCATCATTTTATTGCACATCTCATAATCCCAAGTCTGAAATAGCAAGTCAACCAGCTACTTTTACCCCAGCTAATATGGAAATACAATATTTTCCATTAAATAGATTGCACCTGACTATAAGCTGCATGGTCAAAACTGCATTGTTAAAAAAATACATATACATAGGTCACATTTTATAATTGAATTCTAATATAATAAATAGATACAAACAAATAAAAAGACACACAACAAATCATTTAGATGTAACTGTAATCAGAACAGAGGTTATTAAACATTTTAAGTAGAATAAAAAAAGAAACTAGTGGCTTTCATTATAAACAACATAAAATAAGTGTTAAGCCTACTGTAAATGAACATATGGTGAAATTGAAACTTCAGACATCTTGGAAATGTGCTATACAAAAAAAAATCTCCTCACTCTCATTCTCAGACATTATCATCAATATATTTTTTTAATATACATTGTCAATAAATAGCGTAATAAACAAGTGTATACTATTTCACAAATATGGCGGTTGAGATGGGCGAATGGGGAACATTGTTTCAATATAATAATAATTCAATATAATAATAGACTGGACATTTTTCTATCAGTCATCATAGATGATCAGTCATTATTTATCTGACAGGGTCAATATGGCAGATAGGCTACTCATTTGCTGGCATTGCTAAAACAGTTTTCAGAGATTTATAAACAATCTAAATTGGACAGAATTATTTTAAATATAATGTATTTATTATAATGAAGGAAATAATAGCAAGTTAATATGTATAGACCATTTTGAGGAATGTAAACAAAAACAATGGTTCCAACGTATTTCCTGTTTTACATGTTTAATTTCTGTAGCTGCCGAGAATCCAAACAGACCCACACATTGATAAATAATGTTATGATAACTGTTTTAACGTTGACATCAACACTGAAATGGTACATTTAATAAATGTTTAACACTACATTAATATTTTACTCCAGCGATTTAATAATATTTCTTTTGCTTAATTTTCTAACAACTTTTTTTTGTTAATTATTTCCTACATTAAATACTGTACTAATTTATAAGTAATATATTGTATTTATATTGTTACAAAGGGTTTTTAAACCATAAGGTACTGGTGTGTGTGTGTGTGTGTGTGTGTGTGTGTGTGTGTGTGTGTGTGTGTGTGTGTGTGTGTGTGTGTGTATATATATATATATATATATATTATTAACAGTTGCTACACTTTAGTATTAGTAAAAGATAAAGTAGTTTATCAGTTTATAATTATATTATTTTTAATTATTAACTATAGTAATTTATTTTAATGTGACACATTATTGTTTGTTTTTTATATTTACCTACAAAATGATTTTAACCAAGTATGACAACATTAAGATCCTGAAGAAGAGTAATCAGTCATTAACCATATATGGTTTGCCTAGATTTTGTGAGCTAGATTGTGTGTGTGCCTGAAACGTGTGTGTTTGGATATACAGTTGAAGTCAGAATTATGATTATCCCCCCTTTGATTTTTTTTATTTTTTTTAATAATTCCCAAACTATGTTAAACAGACCAAAGAACTTTTCACATTATGTCTGATAATATTTTTTTCTTCTGGAGAAAGTCTTATTTGTTTTTTTTCCGGCTAAAATAAAAGCAGTTTTTCATTTAAAAAAATATATATTTTTGGGACAAAATGATTAGCCCCTTTAAGCTGTATTTACTTTCTTTAGTCTACAGAACAAACCATCATTATACAATAACTTGCCTAGTTACCCTAACCTGCCTAGTTAACCTAATTAACCGACTTAAACCTTTAAATGTCACTTTAAGCTGTATAGAAGTTTCCTAAAAAATATCTAGTCAAATATTATTTACTGTCATCATGACACAGATAAAAGAAATCAGTTATTAGAAAAGAGTTATTAAAACTATTATGTTTAGAAATGCGTTGAAGAAATCTTCTCTCCGCTGAACAGAAATTGGGGGAAAAAATAAACAGGGAGGCTAATAATTCGGGGGGCTAATAATTTTGACTTCAACTGTATCTCGACTGGACACAACCAACTGGCTCTAATAGTTGAATAGGTTTGAGTCAAAATCAGCTGTTGGATGGAAAGACCATCTGTAACTTTTGAAACTTTATATTTTGAGTACGTGATTGTGTGTACGAAGTTGTACCGATGTCTGAACCAGCATGGCCCTCTGTTCTCTCATCAGGGTAATGACCTCTAGGGGATACACTGGCTTTTCCTTCTCCATCAGTGTCATGGCGGTCTCCATGGTGATCAAAACACCCGTCCGGCCGATGCCAGCACTGCAGGAAAAACACATTGGCTCTGTGTAAGACGAGCGCCCGATAACATCTGTCTGCCTGTGTGCTGGAAGTCCCCTCACCTGCAGTGGACCATTAGAGGCACAGACTCCTGCCTCATGCTTCTCACTGACTTGACAAAATCCAGGAAGTCTGAGGAATCTTCTGGTACCCCGTGATCAGGCCAGGCAACATACTGTAAATGAGTGATTGAGCGCTGCTGTCCTGACTGTAGAATGAAAAAACAAATAGAGTGAGAGAAAGGGCGAGGCTGAGTGCAAGAGAATGCTTGAATGAGTTCGCAAGAAAGCAGACAAGTCTAAGCATGCCTGTGCTTTTCCTTATCCAGAAAAAAAATGTATAAGAAATATTTCTTAGATGAAAGCATTGGGGATTTTCAGCGCCTATGTCTATTTATTAAAGGGCACCTATTTTACCCCATTTTCAAGATTCTTTTCAAGTCTTTTGTGTCTCGAGAATTTATCTATAAAGTTTAATCTCAAAACACCCATCAAATTATTTATTAAACCTTTCAGAAAATTGGGATTTTCTACTCTGAACAAAATCTAGCAGTTTTTGCTGCCTGTATATTTAATGCTAGTTCTCCCCACCCACCATTCCCACGTGCCTCTCAAAGTGTGCCTCAATCTCTGCCCTCGACTGAGTCAGATAAACAGCACAGTGACAGACATGAAGAAAGCAGATCTCACGTAATGTTTGTGAGAAATACTACGATAAACACTTTCCCAATGATTATTTGATGTATTTGTTGTGGAGTCAACGATGAGTCACACACACAATGTCATTACAAAGTTCACGCAGACACACACACACACACACACACACACACACACACACACACACACACACACACACACACACACACACACACACACACACACACACACACACAGCGCATGCGTTTAACTGCACTTTTTACACGCAAAAGTCACAGGACACACGTTAATATCCACTGCTAATATCCCTGGTTTCATCTTCATCCTCCTGCCAATGTAGATGTAGAACTGAAGCATCTAATAATAATTTACAATGAAGAAGGGCAGAGGGTTGCTGAATAATTACTGAGAGATTTCAGCTGTTGTCTGGCCTTTCACTGTCTTTCTATACCTTTTTTATTTGTGTCTTCCCTACTTTTTTCCCTGCGTCATTTTATTTTATTATGCATAACTTCAAATGCATAATATTTGAAAAAAATTCAAGTCAACAGCACTTATAGAAAAATGTTTTTTGAGAAAAATGTTTTCCCCACTGTAAATTGTTTTTGCACATATTTTTATGGATGACCTCTACTAATCAAGGAAAATGTTTTACAGACACAATTTTAAATATCCCTATATTTTAATAGTAAAATAAGGCATATTCTGATTACCTATTTACATTACATTTTTAGAATAAATTCAAAATAATTGGTTATAGGAGCACAAAAAATGCATAAATAAATAAATTCATTAATTTAAATCACACATGTTTTTCTATTGGAATTTTCATAAGTAGGCATGCTAAAAACCACTAGATTTTTCTGTTATACCGTTCCTATAGTATATATAAGGGCTTTTAAAATGTTTTTATGTGTTGTAAATAAATTTGTGTTTTTGAAACTAATGAATTATTTTAATAATTTAGCCTGACATTTTCTGAAATATTAAAGTTTCCTAAAGTAAAAAATATTGTGTTCAATGGGGTAAAAAAAAAATTACCCAAACATTAAAAAAAAAAACTTATTTTAGAGCAGTAATCACAATACTGTGATAACGTGAAACCATGGTATTTTTATTATTATTTTTTAAGATTTATTTTTGGCCTTTTTGCCTTTATTAGATAGGACAGTATTGAGACAGGAAGCGAAGTGGGAGAGAGAGAGAGGGGGTAAGGAAATGTCGTCGAGCCGGGATTTGAACTTGCGACGCCCTGACGTGCTATTGCACCATATGTCGACGCGCAAACCACTAGGCTATTGCGCCGACTAAACCGTAGTATTTTTATCCAAGCTTATACCATCCGAAACTATTCCGGCCCATGCCTACTCATAAGTGTATAATCATGTTAATTTTTCCCATTACATTTTCCGATCCCGAGGGTCAAATCAGATCAGCTTTTTATGCATTTTATAAATGAAGCCCATGTCATTCCAGCCTTTCTTCAAAACTACATTTCAGCTCAGAATGATCTAAACGCTGACATTTTAAAATCCCCCCAGTCTATCATTCATGATCTTATAAGTAGGTGAAGTGCAAAGTAATGATCTTTATGTTCTTGAATATATGAGTCACACTCTAAAGGCCAAACTTGAAAAAAAATAAAAATCCTTTATTGTGACAAATCAGCCAGAAAGGAATAATTGGTTCGCAAGCTGTGAGATACAAACATTCACACATTGGCATTTTTCCTGTACCCCCCAATCATCCCGTTCCTTTCTCCTTTTCTTTATTTTCATTTGAGATACACACACACGCGCACCATATATGGACGACGAATGTGTGATGTAACCTCCGTCTGCTGTCCGTGCTCAGATTAACTCCCACCAACAGAGACAACAGATGGGTCTCCGTTTTCCAGCAATGATAGATTGTTTTGTGAGAGTGAGTGTGTATGTGCATGTACATGTATGTGTACGGTCCTGTGCTCCTGGCTACAGCACTACTTGACCTGTTTGCCACATCCACCAGCACATACTGACACTCTCTCACACACAACAAGCTCTCATTTAAAGTAATTCCCTTTCTATTCCATAAATAGACTTACAGAGTGCGAGTAATTAGAAACATTTACCTTAGAAACACTGAATTTGACCAAAAATAAGACTATGACTGATGAGACTAATCCATGGCGAGCAGCGTTTTCTCTTTTGTGAAGTATTTCTTAATGAAATAGAATACTTCAGACCACTTTGGAATACAATACAACTTTTGTTGTTGCTTTATATAAAAAAAAAAATCTGACCTATAATGTGCTCGATTTCCACTAGGCTATCAGCACTCACAATTAATTTTTTTGATGAATCTGGCATGAATATTATTTAATGCAAAGTAGTATTCTGGTAATGGGAAAATTGCTTAAAGGGCAGCTATGATGAAAGCCATCTTTTGGAAGCTGTTTGGACAGAGCTGTGTGCAGGTATAGTGTGTCCACGGTCATGTTGAAGTGATAGAAACACAATAAGTCTCTTTTATAAAATTCCTGACATTAAAATAGGATCCAAATCCAACCCATTTTGAGGCCGACCGCAACATGACATAGGAGTGCAGTTTCCCCTACCCACCGAATTGATTGACAGCTGCGTATTAACATGTCTTCATTGTAACACATATAATCATATCCACAAGACAGGTTAAATGCGCGCGTTATGTGTGTGTGTGTTCCGGATATATGTACTTTGTAACGAAATTGTGTGTGACTCTTTGCAACTCCGCAACAAATACATCAAATAATCATTGGGAAAGTTCTTACTGTAGTATTTCTCACAAACATTAACTGTGTAGTAACTAATGAACAGATAGTGATTGCTCTTAAGAGATACCTACTTATTAGGAGCATGTCTTTGGTGCCGATTTGGATTAGACAATTAACTTAAGTTGCATGTTTACGGATTGTGGGAGGAAACCGGGGGACCAGGGGAAAACCACGCGAGCACAGGGAGAACGTGTAAACTCTGCACAGAAACGTCAGCTGGCTTGGTAAGGACTACAACCAGTGACGCTCTTGCTATGAGGCAACAGTGCTAACCACTGGGCCACCGTGCCACCCATCTAGGAAAAGGGGAGGAGTAGGGGTGGAAGGGGGGTTCTTCAAAATGAAGATGGCTGTTATATGGAACTTAAGGTATTTATAGTGGCTAAGGAATCACCTGATTGGTGAATCATAAATTGTCAATAGTCGTAAATCATAAGCATGTGATTCTTTCGAAATTAGTTTATAAATTAAATTCACTTATAGCAGAAAAGTATAATGTTCTGAAGGGAGTAATAAATAATCTAAAGGGTATTTTGAGCTGAAACTTTACTGGCTTATTCTGGAGACACAAAAGTCTTCTCTTAAATCTTGAAAAGGGGTAAAATAGATGCTAATAATAGAAAAGTAATAAAGTAATAATTAAAACTACATTTCTGTCCTCATTTAGTCACTCTTGAGCTCATCCAAACTGTATACATTTATTTATTTTGCTAGTCATGAAGAATGACATTCAAATTATTTGTGTAACTGCTTAACAACTATTATATCTAATTAGCCAAGCAGCATGGTAGCATCTTAATGTATTTGTACAACAATGACAAATAATCATTGTTGCTGGTGCCAGATTCAGAAGCTGGTGATCTGCTGGGATTTTAATGCACAAGCATTTCTAAAGTTTAAAGAGAACCAAAATAGAAAAAATCTAGTGAACGGCATTTCTGTGGGCGAAAATGCCATGTTTATGCCAGAGGACGTCAATATGAACCAAACTCCCTGAGAAATGCTTTTGACACCTTGTTGAATCTATGCTAGACAGAATTCCATTCTGAAGGCAAAAGTGGGTGCATTTTATACTAGCAAGGCAGCAAGAGAGTGTGTGAGAAACGTTGTGTGCTATTACTCTATATTACAAATTCAGCAATAGCTTGTGACCAACATAACAGTCACAGTTTTTTCCTTATTAAAATATATGCTGCATTCCAAACAGGATAAATCCGCCTCCAAAGGACATTCAATCAAGAGCAATCAAGGGTTGTTCCAAACTGAAGTACTCAAAACTGGCCACTTCAAAGGACCCTTTTGAAATTTACAGACACACTTCCACGATTCTCTATGCAAGTTAAATTTGTGACGCAGAAAACACAAGATGACGCAGTTTATTTCAAGAAACTCCTTTTTTTCCACTCTTCAACCCTTTGAAGCTTTCGCTCTAGAGGTCATAGGGATGAACCAATCAGAATGGAATGCAATGAATTCTGCCTATGGTAAAAGAAGAAAAAAGTAGCTTCCTAGTAATTATCCATATTCTGCCATTGTTTGTCTTTAAGACAGTTTACATCCCACAGCCATGAGCTAATTTCCATGGTCAGTTCACTTTTTAGTGCCTAATTCTGTTCAGAATGCACAGACATGCACGCAAAGTAACTGACAGGTAGTGAAATAACACACGTACCAAAACTTTACAACCTGCACCTGCATTGTTTAACCCCACAAACTGGCCCAATTATGTGTGGCCTATATTAAGTGGAAGTGGCAACAACACAGTGCACTCTGCAGAGCAGCCTTCCAAACATAAACAAAACATGACACCTCTGTGGTGGAGATTTAGTTAAAAACTATGACCATAATACGTCATTGTTTCTGTAAAATTACTTTGATCACAAACAGCAGATACCAAATGAGCAAGACGCCAGAACGTTGCTATGGTTACTGCAATTTTTATGTGTTCTGGTGTTCTGTACAAACATGCCATGATAGCTCAGGCTAGTAATACACTCCTGTGTTTTTATGTGGTTGTCCCTTCTTAAACGTAGTAGCATGCTACTTTGAGTAAAGTCTATGAATTGCTGCCTGCTATTTGTGGCAGATGGAATTATAATAAGTGACATTCTCATTATTAAGTAGATGTATTTAAACCAAAAACACGTTTACTCTGTTTACAATAGTTTGCATTTAAAGCATATGTATATTTTTAACTTGTCAACTTTTAGCAGTATTTATTATAGCTTATAATTTACCTAAAGTAAGCTGCAAACTCATTTGTGTATGTATGTTAATAATAATGTAAGCTCAATATTTTATATATATGCTTGATGTCTGACTGAGTTGGTAACTGTTGTGTTTTTGAACCATATCTCATAGGAGTGGTGTCTAGGGATGCTCATTTCGATTCATTTTGCCAACCGACAACTGCCGCTAGTTTATCGAATATTAACGGTTAACTGTTCAGATTAATATTAAATTATTATTTAATAAAAAAATGTGTCTATTTTGTGTCTGACACATTAAATATTGCATTAAAATACTGATTTCATTTAACATGCAAACATATTTACAACAGAACATCTTCATGCACCTACAGCGTTTCCAACAGCATAGAAAAACAGAATAAACGAAATAAAAAAGAATAAAATAAATAGACCTGCCCTAGATATTTTTCACTTCAATCATAAATTTACATCACAAAACGAAAACACTGACTGTTTCCTTTTTAAGAACCAGCATAGGCTGTTTTTTTCCCTTCTTCTGTCAAATAAAATTATCAGTCTACCTCAAATTGTTCACTCAACAGAAAATATGCATTTAATTAATGCTCCGCTGGAGAGAAAATCCTGACGCTTCGACTTGTGGCCAGCTTGTTTCCAAAGCAGCGCACATTTCAGAAACTTTTTTGTTTTGCGACTTCTTTCTCCATTTGTGCAAATAAACAGAAGTGTTTATGATGCGGATCTAGGACAGAGGCAATCAGCATCAGCACTGGTTTGGCATCAACTTGTCTGTGTCAAACTGTGACCAGCAATATTATGCTTTCATTTTGCTTCTCTAGCAAAATATGTATTATGTATGTATTACCATCCAATGAGTTAGGGATTGCCAAACTTTTTTATTCCGGGACCCACCTAAGCAAGTAATTCAATCTCAAGACCCACCATAATATTTTGTTATGGAAAAATGGGTAAAAAAAATTTATCCATTCAAAGCAGTCAAAAATATATGGTGTGCGGCTTTTTGGATTTTACGATTTGATATGTACAAAATGAGGCTCGAAGTGCTTTTTGTGGGATGCTGGCTGTAACTGTGATCATTTTTTTTTTGTTGAAAAAGATACTCTTCTTTTTTCAGAAGAGAATATGATCAACCTTTGATCAAGCCCCTGTAATATGATCAACCCCCGTCACATTGCAGTAAATTCCACTGCTAGTGTATAGTCATAAGAAACTAAATAGCTTTTTGATCGACTACTACAAGCTGGGAAATTGTCAGATAAATATGCCAATGCAATGAACATTATTGCTGAATTGATCTAATATTTACACATTTGCTTGAGGAAGGAATGATGGGGTAGTTACATTACTATTATGATTTTCCATAACATTAGGTGACGTTAAAACTAACAGATAGCACTATAGCTATTTATTGATTAGCAATCTGTCAACGTTGGAATGTAAAAAAAATATGGGACAACGAATAGCTTCAAATGATAGAATACATAGCAAATATTAGAAAATATTAACAATACAATAAAAGGTTTAGCCTATTAAAATCAATGGCCTATCCAGAAATTAAATAAAGCTATAAAATCTATTTCACTTTTAATTATATTTGCAAATTGATTAAAGTTACTATAGTTATTTAGTGAAGAGCAGCAAATGAATCTCTCATTGTGTTTTGTTTGATAACAGAGGTGTTCTTGTAAGAATGCACAGATCTATAATGAAGCATTCGACTACTTTAATAACTGTTTGTGCTCATTTAAGTGAAAATTAGTAGTGTTTAAAATGAAACACGCAGGACGGAGCAAAAAAAAAAAAAACGAAAAAAAAGAAGCACTTTTCCAACGGTCCCTTACTGAGAGCTCCGCTCTGCGCGAGCTCTACCGGCTAAACGCAGATTGCGAGAGCTCAAACGGAGCAGTGCTTGTAATGTCGAGCGGAAAAAAAGTAAAAGACATAACCAGCTTTGTCTTTTTGTAGGAAGTACACTTTAGATATTTTTAGGGTAAGAGGTTTTTAAGTTATTGCCGCCAATCGTACTGGTTTTGATTCACCGCAATGTAAATAGCTGCAGCTATGTGACGTTCCGCAATCCACCTTTGTTCACTGTGCGACCCACAGTTTGAAAACCCCTGCCATGAGTTAACTGATATGTGTTGCACATTTATGCAGCCAGTATATATATATATATATATATATATATATATATATATATATATATATATATATATATATATATATCCTTTAACTGATACCATTAATTGGTTAAAAACACACTGTTTCGGTTAACGGTGAATAGGTTATTATGAGCATTCTATTTAGTAGTATGTGCACTGTTGTTGTTACCTGAGTGTTAGTGAGTGTTAATTGTCTGGTAACGTATGCCAGGTTGCACTCCTCTGAGTGACAGCACACCTGAAGATACCCATAATCCCTCACTTCAGGTGGATGTGGCCAGTATTGGTGGCACTTGGTCTGTGGAAATGGAAAAGAGATTACTAAGCAAACACACACACACACACACACACACACACACACACACACACACACACACACACACACACACACAATTTATGCTCCCTCCCTCCCTCTCTCTCGCTCTCCCTTGCTCAAACACCAAGTTTATTAAATCATCCCTTTGGAAAAGAATGCAGAATGCTCGGTTACCAAGCAACAGTCAAGCCGAGCCGAAGAATACGCTACTCACAATAAGCTGTCCTTGGGGGACTGGAGGTGTGTGATGGGTCTCGTCTGATTAGATGTTATATGTGTGTAAGTCTGTTTGTAGTTTTTCTGTTGTAAAAGTGAATTCACGACATTACTATGTCTGTGTTTGTTTGTGTGTGTGTGTGTGTGTGTGTACTGCATTTGGTGCTTTATAAGGACACACATTTGTATAACGACACGGGTATGACCCAAGTATTAGAATGTTAAGGTGGTTTATAAGGACATAAACAGTGTCCTCATAATGCAAAAACTGATAATGATCATACTTAACCAGTCTTTTCTCATTCAAGATGTGCTACGTTTCCTGTGAGGCCTGGGTTTTAGAGATATTTGATTTAAAAAGTTGTTTTTCAAGAGCATAAAATAAATTATGCCATCAAAACAAGTATGCTTGCATTTTAAAATATTAGTTCACTCCAAAAATGACAATTCTGTCAGCCAAAACAGCCAAAGAGTTACATGAAGTGCTGCAGTATTAATAAACATGAGCTTACTTGATGATAAAATTTAAATTCTGTCATCATCTACTCAATCCCATAAGAGGTTTGTTCATGCTTAAAACACAAACAAAGATATTTTGAATTGTTTTTTGCTATTCTTTCTCGCATATTGTTGCAAACGTAGCTTTCCAAAAGAGGTTCATTCATCTTCGCAACAAATAAAGAGAAGTTTCTGGCCCTACTCACTCAAAAACCTTTTAAAATGTTTCTAAAAAGCTTCATAAGTAAATTTATATGAAATAAGCACAGCGATTCAAGATTTATGTAGAGACACAATCACTAAAATTGAACATTAAAATGTTGTTTTTTACTGCCATATAAACATAGATCAGCAAACATAGGCTGCATTCAAAAGCTTAAGCAATTGACTTGTTGCCTCACTTTCCTATCAGGAGGTAACTCTGGAGGCATCATTTGTGAACAAGGCACCTTGTAAAATGTATTTCAGACAGATTTTTGAGACAGCATAAGGATTTAATGATGTATAATGACGCAAGAACTTACTATAATACTAACTTCTCCTGAAAAGTACTCAAAAGCTTTGTTGTTCAAAGACCTACATTTACACACAAACTTACACCTAAGCAAAGCTTTGAGATGATCTTTAGATTTTTAACTTTCAGAAAAAGAAAAAGAAGAAGAAAAAAAACAGGATTTTGGGATACCAAAAGACACATCTTTGCTGTCTTCAAAATGGATGTTAAGCAGATTTGGGATTTGAACGCACCTCGAATGCCTTTCTGTGTTGGAATGCTGCCTCTGAAGCAAGCATTTTAGAGCTTTCGGATGCAGACATAAACAGAAGCTCAACCATACCTTCTTAAAGGTCCCGTGAAGTGCTGTAAAATGTGCATTTTTTATTTAATGTATGATGTAATCTTAACCGAAACATGAAGAGAGCTTGGGACACTGTAAAAAGTGATAAAGCTAGTGAACTTAATTTTTTATAGTTATGCAAATTATACTTAATTTTTAATACTAAAACCAATCACTTTTTTCAATACACCCTAACAGCTTTTCTTCATTTAGCAAAATGACATACAGTAAAAAAAAATCTGCTCTTCCAGACTCCAGTGTGTCTTCTATATTCAGAGCAGGCTATAATTGAAGATTTTATAGACTTAATGAAGTACCAAATTTGCATTATTGTAATAATCACAGTAATTACTAGAAGAGAAGTGCTAAATTGTCTGATACTGTTAAACGGAACTTTTAAAAAGTGAGTAGAATTTGCATAATTATAAAAATTAAGTCAGCTTAACAGTTCCGAGTTACAATGGGTTTACTTACATTATTTTTGTAAAGTCAACTTGTTGCTTTTAAGACAATTCGTTTACTTGCTTTAAGTAACTGATCACTTTTCATCAGTGAATAAGCAAATCAGTGAATAAGACAATTGATCCATTTAAGCGGAAGTGACAAACTACAAGCTTTACATGTTTATTAGTAATTTCCAGATTCGATCATGTGATCGAACATCGGGTCTGATTACGCAATTTCAGACTCAATAAAAATGATATAAAAATATAGTTATCCGGCGACACAGTGTTAGACCTCTTTCTGGCCTTCACACAGAAACAGCAACGTGTGCTGCATGACATCACTTTGTTGCAGAGACACTATTGGTGAATGCCTTTGCAAACACTGGGACTTTTTCGTTTACATGCCTGCAGGGTATTTTAAGTTGAGGAGCTATTTGTTTTTATATTAGATTTTATTTTATTTTTAAAATATTTACTGTTGCACTAAAGTCCAAAAGTGAAGAGTTTGTTATTTATTACTTGATTGTTCAAGCTACCTCAAACAGTGCTATGTTTGTTAACAGAGTTGTTGAATGTTAAAATAAATTGAATTAAATAAAAAATAAGGAACATCTTGGATCTGTTTCTTCGCTCTTTTTTTATTATTTTTTTATGTATTATAGAAGTATCGGATCGAGTTTCGGAATACTCAAAATCAAATTAATCGGAGGCAAAAAAAACCTGATTGGACATCCCTAATGTTGATATCAATTTTTTATCTACTAAACATGAATATTGTCACTGTTTCGGAGCACACTAGCTTATTCACCTTATTCTCCACATACGAGTGGGCGCAGCCATTTGAATCTTTTTGGCTCAAGACGTCCGGTCTCATTCCCTTCCATTCATTTTTAGATGTAAACAACAGCTCGTCTTGCAAACTGATATTTTCTTATTAAATTATTCTATTTTGTCTGTATAGTCATGCAAACACTTGTTTGTAGAGTAAGTAGTTTGACTGTTTCCGTTTATTATTCCTAGTCATTTCTCCCATTGGCAACTGAATTGAAAGTTCTAAAACAATCGCAAAACCGAGCGCACTTGCGCATTGAAGAATAATGAATAGATATCCTAAAAACTAACAATACTGATACTAATATCATTCATTCATTCATTTTCTTTTCGGCTTACTCCCTTTAATAATCTTAGGTCGCCACAGCAGAACAAACCGCCAACTTATCCAGCATATGTTTTACACAGTGGATGCCCTCCAGCTGCAACCCATCTCTGGGAAACATCCACACACAATCATTCACACTCATACACTACGGACAATTTAGCCTACCCAATTCACCTATAGCGCATGTCTTTGGACTGTGGGGGAAACAGGAGCACCCAGAGGAAACTTACGTGAACACAGGGAGAACATGCAAACTTCACACAGAAACGCCAACTGATCCAGTCGAGGCTCGAACCAGCGACCTTTTAGCTGTGAGGGGACAGCACTACCCACTGTGCCACTGAGTCACCCCGAACTAATATCTCAAAAACTTGTTTAATTTCATGGAACCTTCAAAAAAATTAAGCTCATTGGTTCTTGCGAAAACTTAAATGCGTCACATGACACGCAAAAATAAACCACATTGGTTCTTGCGCATCAAGCAAGCATGCTTTAGCTTGCATGACCAAATCTGCAGATCAATGTTCAAATGTTATTTAAAGCCTAAATGGATTAAAATTCTGTTTTATTTATTTATTCATAACATTGTGAAAGCCAGAGACCTTGCAATGGAGGAAGAGAAATGGCTGAGATTTGATTAAAAATATCTTCATTTGTGTTTTAAGGATGAACAAACTTCTTATGGGATTGGAACAACATGGGAGCGAGTAGAAGATGATAGAATTATTATTTTTTGAGGTCAACTAAATCCTTGAAGTATGTTCATGTTTATTAATACTGCAGCACTTGATGGAACTCTTTGGTTGTTTTTGTTTCATATGAGGGGAGCATGTGCTGAAGTACCCGTCCTCTCTCTGTCAGCGTAGTCAGCATTATGATGACATTGACGTCCTGCTCCCACACGCTCCTCCAGAAGTGTGTACAGGTGTGCGGCAGTGGACCCTGAGCTGCTATGTACTGCAAAACACAACCTGCTGGCTCAGTCTGACACATGCACGCACACACACAGAGAAACACAAATCGTCAAGTCTTCAGTCAGTCACCCAGAATCATGAATCAAAACTTTTCAATTCAACACTAAAGTGAAGCAATGAAAAGAATGACTGGGATGAGACATACCTTCACGTGACTAGCATTGATGTAATCGTCCCCCTCCTCCTGCAGCACCACCCTGGTGATGTCATCTGAAAGAAAAGAATGAACGGGCAGAGAATGAGGAAGAGGGATTTGCGGATTATGTGAAAACACCTCTGAAGACTAGTTTTAAAGAGCATTACGCCTCATTCCCCATCGGGAGCTTATACGCATAATAATAAAATAATATGTTTGACCTTAGGCCTAATCTACTCAAGTGTGCTAGGTTTGTTCAATCTCATCAGTCATGCAGTTGTTGTAAAGTACAAACCTCCTGAACAAATGTTTTCAGTTTTTCAATTGTTATTTCGAAGGCTCATTTAGAACTTTAAAATGTTGTTTATGACACCAGGACTATTCATGACAGTGTCTTAGGGATATCCTTATATAGCCTGAAGATCAAACCAAACTAATGCTAGTTTTACTTAAAAAATACATAAAATGTGCATAAATTATTAATTATTATTTAGATGACTATATATACTGTGCATGAACAGCAATAAAAAGCGATTCAAATTTTGTTGGAAATGCTAATAAAATTTTAAGTGCCCTTATAATACCTTTCATGCAGCATGTAAGAATAAAGTACATAATAAAGTTACACTACCACCCTTAAAACAATCAGTCACTTCAGCAACAATTCCACTTTAACTTCTGTAACTGATCTACACAGAATCACACACAGTAAACAGTGATTCATTGACTTTATTTTTTAAAAAAGTGAGTAAACCTTTTTATTAAGTTATTAGTTGATTTTACCCAAAAAAGAGAATAAACCTGTTGCCTTAAAATGATTAAGTAAATAAACTATGTGTTTAATTATAAAAATTAAGTTTATTCAACTTAAAAGAATCAATGGGTTTACCCACTTTCCTAAAACTAAAGTCAACTTGTCACTTTTAAGGCAACGGTTTACTTATGGTTTTTAAAAGTAAAATAACTAATTGATTTTTTTATTCCGTAAGAAATCACATTAATAACAATAAATGTCATGAGAAACAATAAATGCCAAGACCCGTGAGAGCAGAGTGAAGCTGCGGTCAGGCTGCACTTTTCTCCTTATAGACTTCCATTTATACGCACACGAAAGAGACAAGTTTCGCATTTTGGAAAGTTCAAGCTTGGTGAACTCTGAACTGCGAAATCACATCACATGATTGCGTGAGACCAATCAAAGACCAAAACATGACCTCTCTAGACAGAAATTTAAAACATGGACCAATCGCTCGCTTTCTTAATGTCTGATCATTTTGTTTAATCCCGCCACTTTTCGCAGGGCCGTACAACAGAATTGGGCATGCACAAACTCTAGTGTGACTGCAGCATGAGGCCGGTGGTGTGAGTGTTAACAAGCGTCACCTATTTGCCACACCGGTCTTGAGTCTACCAGAGGACTGTGGAAGAATAAACGGGAAAGTGATGAGAGAGGAAGAAGAGAGGACCAGGCCTGTAACATGGTATGTTTTGTTTTGCTATCAGTTTGTCATTCATGAAAGGCTGCCATCACCCGCTTGTTTTCTTTATCAAAGTGCTTTAAACATTCATCAGTTCTTCTTCATTCATCAGCCTCCATCTTTTGGTGGCTAAAAAGCCATCTAATTACTTTATTACAAGCCTCCTTAGTGCTTAACAGAAAAACAAACTTGTTTGGACACACTTGAAGGTATTTTTTATTTTCGGGTCAACTATCCCTATATAAACTGTAAAAAAAAAAGCATAACTGAGGCACACTGTGCATCAACATGATGTTGAGTTTTCCACTTATAAATATGAGCCATTGATGTCTATTTTCAACTACCATTTATGATTATTTTGATATCACAAGAAGACAGCATTACTGCATTAACACTTTACCAAATCATGCATTCCCCGGAAACTGACATCACTGTTAGTGCCATGCTTTACAGTCTGAACTACAACTTAAAAAATGCCCTAGCTATTGTTTGTCTACATTTTTAAGTAAAACAATCCCACTTAATGAAACCTCCAGATTTTAATTAAAAAAAATGATATAACTAATATATAATAACCAAATAACACAATAATGCTATAATGTGTCTTCCGTATAACTTAATTTTCCTGGACATGAAAAGCAATACAACTTACATGGTAACACATCTTTGTACCGATTCTTGTCCATATTCTCAGACTGCTTTGCGCAAGACATTAACATTCCTTCTTTCTTCCTGTACAACTTCTGTAAGCAGCAAAACACACACACACATGCGCTGATGACAATTATCAGCATTACACACACACATGCCAAATGACACATGCTGTAAAACAATCATGTGGCCCAACCTCAAAGTGCAGAAGCAGCGTTCCAGTGACCAAACCCTTTTCCAGACGGGCCATGGACTCCTCTAGTGTCTCTCCAGATGGATGAGTGGACAGTGGGGATATTTCACCCGGAAGCGTGAGACCGAGCTGTAGTGTGGGTTCGACTCGTAAAGAGACACCTGGATATGTTAAGAATAACATAAAAGAATTGTTACTGCCAGAGAGTTTAACTAAACTGCTGTCAGCATTATTCAACAGAGGCGGTGTTTTGTTTTTGTTTGTTTGGAACTCTTTAAGTGTTGCCATGCCCACTTATTATAAGCACTGTAGGGTTGAAGTTACTTCAAAAAAAGAAATGAATCAATAATTACATCATTACCATTGTCTTTTCTAATTACGGTCTAAAAAAAGTAATTTACTCAAAGATGAAATACTATTCATCTTTAATCAATCCTCAATACAACTGAACCTCTTTAAAATTTTTGTCAAATTTTGGCTTAACTGTATTATTGATAAATAATAAAACAATACTTCAATACTGTTATTTTAATAACAAGTTTAGAATTATTTAGAAAGCGTCCTATCATACACCAGGCACAATAAGGTGCAAGACGAGTTTGGCATGATTTGTTGCTATTTACAGACCAGCGCAACCTCAATGTTCATGTTTTGCGCCACTTTGTGGCCTCATGGGCGTGCTGGTCTGAAAAGGAGGTGTGCTAAAGCACATTATTGGCGCATTGCTGTTTTGAAGAACTGAAATAGACTGCACCATTGACCATCTAAAAGCAGGTCTGAATTCCAGCTCAGAGTCCATTAGTTATGCGACTATGCAGGTTAAAAACGCTTACATATTGCTAAATACACACAGAATGTACATTAATACACAAATATCTTTACATATGAAAAAATTAAAAAGATTAAAATAATAAAAAAATATTACTTTCTACATACATAATAACCAATAATAAAAATCACTACCACAAAAAAACACTAACTCAATTTGCATATGTATAATGTTATCATTATTAGCAGTAATATGTATTATATGCACACTTCGTTATATTTGTTTTTTTATTCGTTTGTTGGATATTAGAACTGAATTTATACATTATAAAGACTAATGATAAAGAATATTTATAAAGAATTTAAGTATATTTTAATTAACTAGTTATATTTTCTTTTAATGCTTTTTTCAGTGGATAAGTCATTTAATTATGGTAACTAGATATTCTGTAACTAATTAGTCCCAACGCTAATTATAAATATCACCCAAAAATGAAAATTACCTTATTTATTCTCCCTCTATTCTATTAATCTATTAATCTAATGATAATCATTCAGTTCTACATCAAAGATAAAGTATAACTAATAAATTATCCCCAACAACATTTTTGTTTTGGACAAATATAAACGTACACATACACAACAACAAAACTGCACCTTTGCGGCGCACAAGCAATGCGAGCTCCTTGCTGTGTGACTCTCGGCTTGCTTTGATGAACATGACCACCTGCTGATGTGTGTGTTCTGAAATGTCCCGTCCATTTATAAGCAACACCTGATCTCCCTCCATCAGTGGAGGCACACAGCGGCCGGCCTGCGAACACAGCCAATATTTGAACAAACAGAAAAATCCTGACACCCATTTGTAATCTCAAACAGCCAGGGCTTTTTATGGCTTACCGGAGATGCAAGGTTAACATGAGAGATGGCCAGGGGCATCTTCTGATCCACGCCTCCCTAAACATTAACCCAGAATATCCTGATACACGAGCTCCCAAACTTAATTAGCTGAAGGCAATTGGAACAATATGAAAACGAATAACTCACTTTGACATTAAAGCCAAACTTGCCATCTTGGTCTGGGCTGATCCTCACAAGCAGCAGATCACCATCCGCTGTCACACTCTGTGCACAGATAACCATAAAAACGGGTTTAGGATAAAAAAAATAAAATAAAATTGAGGATTTTTAGCTTTAAATTAATTAAATGCTAGCATGTTTGACAATGGCGGCATGGTGGCTTAGTGGTTAGCACTGTCGCCTCACAGCAAGAAGGTCACTGGTTCGAGCTCAGGCTGGGTCAGTTGGCGTTTCTGTGTGGAGTGTTTGTGTGGGTTTCCTCCAGGTGATCCAGTTTCCCCCACAGTCCAAAGACATGGGCTATTGGTGAATTGAACAAGCTAAATTGGCCGTAGTGGATGTGTGTGTGTGTGTGAATGTGAGAGTGTATGAGTGTTTTGCAGTGCTGGGTTGCAGCTGGAAGGGCATCTGCTGGATACAATATATGCTGAATAAATTGGCGGTTAATTTTGCTGTCTCAACCCCTTAATAAGTGATAAGAAAATGAATGAATGAATGTTTGACAATATTATTATTATTATAATTGTTATTAAATAGGTTATATATTAAATATCCTGTTGATTTCTGCGGAGGCATTAGATTTGGTATATGGGTTGTAACATATGTTTCCAGATGGATGTAAAAATGCTTTGAGATTTAAATATTTCAGCAATTCTGTGAGGTGATGAACTTCATACAAGACCTGGCAACTTGACAAACATGGACAAAAAAAGGGATTTTTGTAACTAGATTGGGCCATACAAATTACAGGTTATTTCAGGGAGAAATAACAACACAGGAGATTTTTGAATTTATGGCTTACTGAATTCCTCTGTCTATTTCATGGCAAAACCACATCAAATTTACATTATAAGTATCACTTTTCTATAATAAAATAAATATAACAATAAAAAGACATCAACAGCAATAAATATTACATAAAATACAAATCTAAAAGATTTTTATGGTTTGCAAAACATTTTATGAATAATAATTTTTTTTAATAATAAACTTTTTTTAATAAACTATTTTTAATAGTTTTTTTATAAATAATAAATAATAATAATATATACATTTTATATATTTTTTTTGTCTCTAAAAATATAACAATAAATAAACATCTACATAAAATAATGCATATGATAAAAATCTGATTTGCATTTTAAAATATTACCTTTCAAGAGTTTACATGTACAGTAGATCGGCATGCTGTGCCAGAAGAGAACTCTGAGCTTGGAGATAATTGAGCCCGGGACTCCCGCCTGGTCAATAAGCATGTAGGGGGGTACGAGATCAGGTATGTCTCGAGAGCTCCCCCTGGTAAGGGGAGGAAAAGAAGGAGATGGGTGGAAGGGTGGATTCTTCCAAAACGAAGGTAAGGTAATAGGGTGAAATTAGTCTGTTTATTGTAAACTTGAATCAATCTTGGATTATTACTGATTACGAAGGCCAGCCTCGATTAATCATATCATGTGCTTCTCTGAAAATTAGTTTGTAAAACTTCACTTAAAGTCTATCCAGATAAAAAACGATGTCTAATAACATCAAAAATAGGAAATTCTAAAAGTATATGTTTAACATTTTGGTTTCTGTTGCAAAACTGACATTTTGGGGAACTTCTCCTTTTTAGTAAATGTTAATGAGTAAGTCTCATGTTACTGATACAGCATCTTGTGCATCTCATCATCTCTTGAGCTAAAAAAAAGTTAGATTTTTTCAAAACGTTTATTATTTTGAGCACTGATCCCATTCTGCGTGCCATTTGTTAAGAACATAGCCTGTTATTAGTGGCTTTAAGTCTGAAAGTAGGATTTTGCACTCCTTTATACTTCCTGTTAGGGCTTTTTTGGCAGCTTTGGGGGGCAGGAGACGGGTGTGAAATATGGGAGACTCCTGGGAAAATCAGGAGTGTTGACAGGTATGATTATAGCACAAAATAATAAAAAAAATGACATGACCTCAGAATGTTATTGCTCTGTCAGAAGACATCCTCAAGCCATTTTGCTCACTGATAGCTTGAACTTTCTTCTGTAGGATACATAAACTAGCATAAAAGTAGTTCTTAAGTGACCGTAAAAAGTCACCTACTGTAGAAACAGTATATAATTACAGCAATTGTAATTATTTAATTTGCATTCTTTTTATTTATGTATTTATTTTATTTGTAGGTGTTTATTTTATTTTATTTTATTTAGGTGTCTGAGTTAACTCCTAAAACTGATTAGTAATTGAAAATCAAAATCTTACTGTAGTCTCAGATTTTGTGCCTTACTACTGTTTTAAGGGTGCCCTATAATAAAAAAATTTGGGTATACCCATTAGAATAACAAAAAGATCAGTAAATGGAAAAGAGCATACTGTGAGCCTCAGACACTACTGTTTCCTCATTCTCATGTAAATTCCACGAGTGTAAATCTCCAGTGGACAACAGGCCAATCAAAAGACAAAACAAACTGTGACCAGATTTATGGGCCATGCCCTCCGCATTTGCATGCAAGTCTAATTTAGGTCATTCATCCAGACCAGACGAGCAGCCATGTCATGAAGCTCTGAGATCATAAAAAAAATCTCAGGGACCATTATTATACACGCCTCATGCTGGGTTTGATAGGCAACAACGTTTTTTAGTGAAATAACAGTGCTAAATTTCCTCCATTAGTTATTTAAAGCGTATATTTCCCTTACTATGTATGATGGACTTTTATTTTGAAAAATACATCTCTATCACTCTCTTTTGTCAAGTTTAACTATAATTTAGCCTTTATCCACAAAAAATCTGGTGAGCAAAATAGGTAAACGTTACTCTGATTGGGTTTATATTTGTCCATGTTCAGTGTACATCATGCTGTGTGTGTGTGTAATATTCACGACACGAGCCATATATGGTCAATCATGGACCTTCTGAGTCTATGGGTATTTTTTGGAGTAATGAATGATCTTATAAAACCGTTTCTGGAGATTTTTTTGAACTTACCAAAGACATAAATCTACTATGCAGATATCAGAGAACAATTTAACTTATTAAACCAATGCAGTATTTGGCACCTTTAAAGTGTTTGCCAGTCAAATTCTTGTGATTTGAGAGTTAATTTTTTCCTGACTCATCAGCATGAGTGTAATGTCAGTGCACTGCTTGGATCTGTCATAATAAGAAAGAATATTTCTGACAGCTGACTGTCTTAATGCTGGACTCCTGTGTCCTGTTATTTCATTCAGCATTTACTCCTCTGCTTCATTTTGATTGCCTTTCTGAAATCCAATCAAACAGTATTCCTGACCACATCACAGAGTTTATGCATTTAAATACATGGTGACATGTCTGGGGCAATATTTTACTCGCAAATGAGCTAGTTTTATGACCAAAATGTAATTGTTGATTGATTTAAATGATTAAATGCAGTCTTAAAATTACAAACAGAGTATACACAGGAATCAGAGTGAAATTCAAAACCTTTTAAGACCTTTTTTAAGACTCTTTCCATATATTTTAAAACCTTATAACCACTTTTCAACCGGAAACAATAGCGAGATTTTAACCTGCAGTATATTTACTAAATATTAATGTAATCCAAAACAAAAACATTATTTATGTACTGAATAACAATCCATTAAATCTAGATGATTTATCAGGTTGGCGCCTGTAGAACTGCATAAATAATGGTGTTGCCTTAGTTACTGCAGTAAACACAGCAGCATGATGTCAAATCTAGTAGGATTTAATAAACTACACAGCATCCTGATATTCGCAGATTTAATTCAGGAAAACTTTAGCATACAGCCATACATTGTATAATCAAAAATGATATAAAATGTAATACCTTGCAAAATAGCACTTAAGACTTTTTAATACTTTTTTAGTGCCTTCAATATCTCTACATTAGTTTATTAACTTTTAATACCTTAAGACATCGCGGACAGCCTGTACAAATGTATTAAATATTGCACTATAATTATTTTTTATTTTTTCCATCGTCGCTGTTATGCGAAGACATGGATGACTCCAGACTATGTAATTACTGTATTTGACCCTAATTATTTTGTTAAGCTGCCTTGGGATGTTCAGGTCTTGGGGGTTGGGTTAAAACAATAATAGATAGAAGGACACCATAATGTTTACTGTTTTATTGTATATACATTTTCCTTCAATTAAATAACAAAATAATAATAATATTGCACCATAATCATTCATTCATTAATTTTCCCTTTGGCTATAACGCATGTCTTTGGACTGTGAGGGAAACCGGAGCACCCGGAATAAACCCATGCAATCACAAGGAGAGCATGCAAGCTCCACAAAGAAATGCTAACTGGCCCTGCTGGTACTCGAACCAGCAACCTTCTTTCTGTGAGGCGACAGTGCTACACACTGAGCCACCGTGCCACCACACCATAATCATGTACCATTTATTTTATCACCTTTTCCCATCCTCTCTATGACCATGAATATTTAAAGGTTTATTTATCCTGCCGTGTCCTTAAGGAATGACTCCATAAGTAAATAATAGTGGTTTTCGTCATTTCTGCATAATCTTCAAATCTAATATCGTTTTTAACTGCCCCATTCATCAAACGCAACAATCCACACTGAACTGTGCCACAGAGGGCTTCTTCATATCAATCACTCATTTTAATGCAATGATCTTGATGATGAAGCTTTTGAAGAGAGATCCTGTTGTGTGCCACGTTTCCCTTGATCTTGCGTCATCGTGTGTAATCACACTCACCTTATCCCAGACGTGCAGATCATCCTCTTCAATGGTGATGTCATCACCATGAGACCAGCTGCCGCTCCTGCGCTCCTCCTCCTGAGGTTTCCTTAAGTGTAATTTAGTTTTAATAAGTTACTATGAGAATAAATCAATACAAATGTATGGCTGTAAGACTGTAAATTTGCATGCACAGATTAGATTTATTGCCTGTAGGTATAAAACACGTCTTCGCTCTCGGTCACGTAGCTCATTTCATTGGTCAAGTTGTCCACGGATGATGGCCGAGGATTACGGAAGTCATGACGCACACGAGGGCTTCGCCTAAAAAGAAAAAATGCAGACTTAGACCTTTAAAATGATTACATTATATTTGCATAAAAAGTATTAAAGGGGGCAAATTATGATCTCTACACTGCCAGCTTCCTTTACTTAGGTTCTGTTTACTTTAGTGTTTCGTTTTAGTTACTGCTTTTTTAAAGAATGAAAATGCTCAGCGTTCAGTCTTGCTTTTCAAAAAAACAATCTCTGTTTACACTATACAGCCTAAACGCATGATATTTAACCATTCATGCTCACTGCCCATTCATGTGCATATGTTGCTGCTTTGCATACTTGCAGTCTATTAGTTGTGTAATGAGATGAGCTTGATGAATCAGGCAATGATATGATGTGCATTAGAGTGATTGTGAATAGCCGCCCCCCCAACTCTATTTTCTAAGGTTACCATTTCAGTCCATATATATCGAAATAGAACACCAGCATTTGCAAACTAAAGTGCGTTGTTTAATATTGTCAAGATGCTCTGAGGTTTCACAAGTCAAATTTCTGGGATAATGTGTATGAAAAACACAATCTCACAGCAATTTGTAACTTTTTGATTTAGTGGTTATTTCGTATGAACTCATACGATCTCATTCGAACAATTTAGTAAGATTTGCTCAGCCCCCAATGACAGTTGTGTTTAGGCAGGGTGGGGTGCCAGTTTGTGTTAGGAGCAGGGTTGGGTGCCACGCCTCCTTTTTAAAACCATACATTTTTGTTCGACTGAACTTGAAAATACGTATGTTTTCTTGTTTTAGATCAGGCTGGGATGCCAGATATAACAAAACACATGCTTTATAAAACAAATCACATTAGTGTAACGCAACCTTATCCTTTATATCAATACATTTTTTTGCAGTGGCGCAGTAGGTAGTGCTGTCGTCTTAGAGCAAAAAGGTTGCTGGTTTGAGCCTGGCTGGGTCGGTTGGCGTTTCTGTGTGGAGTTTGTATGTTCTTCCCGCGTTTGCGTGGGTTTCCTCTGGGTGCTAAGGTTTCCCCCACAGTCCAAAGACATGTGGTACAGGTGAATTGAGTAGGCTAAATTGTCCGTAGTGTATGAGTGTGAATGAGTGTGTATGGATGTTTCCCAGTGATGGGTTGCAGCTGGAAGGGCATCAGCTGTGTAAAACATATGCTGAGGAAGTTGGCGGTTCATTCTGCTGTGGCGACCCCAGATTAATATAGAGACTAAGCTGAAAAGAAAATGAATGAATGAATTTTTCTGCACTATTTCTGGACTCCTCAAACGTCTCATCTTCAGTTTCCAGTCTATAGTGGGGTGAGAGCTGGCTGAATTGTGTTTAGCAGTGTGTTGTCGTCATGGTCAACTGCTCCACAGATGTAATATACAGATACATATAATTTCCTCACCAATCTGTGTTGGGGTAATGCATTAAAAGAAATGTGAGCTACATAATAATATTACTTTTTTAAGTAACAAGTAAAGTAAAATATTACTTAAAAAAAATAAGGTCATAATATTTGCTTTGTAATGTAATGCGGGTTACTTTTTAGTTGAGTTAATTGACTTTTAATATAAACTGCTAAATGAAATCAACGTAGTCGCACTGAATCACGCACTCAATGAGAGAATTTGCTTCCTGTGGAAACAGAGACAAAGATGGCAGGCCAGAACCTTACATTTCTGCGATGGAAGTATTCTTATTATTTTGAAAGCAATGAAGAAAAAAGTGAATGAAGGTGTAGGTTATACAGTGTGGTGTTAATTGCAGAGCTTCTCTGTTTTTTAAAAAAAAAAAGAAAAAAAACTACCCCAATGTTCTGAAAGAGATCAAGCTTCGGCTAGGTAAGAAAAAGTAATGCAAATGTAACATAATTTTATTACCATAAAAAGTAACCAAGTAATGCAACTAGTTAATTTTTGGGAGAATAACTCAATATTGTAATATGTTACATTCAAAAGTACCTTTCCCCGACACTGTCACCAACTGCCTTTATTAAAGACATACAAAACACTGTGGGAATGTTTTGACAAAAGCTAGTGTGTATTTAACAGTTGACAATGAAAGAGGATTTATGGCATCTGTATGCTCAGAATGTCAGGACGTTTAATCAGACGAGGTTTTAAAGAACACAGCAAGATCATTTGTTTGATCTGAGTAACAGCTGCAAAGTAACCACCCACTTCTGATAAAGGGGGTGTGGAAAAGCAGCTCATTTGCATTTAAAAAGAAAGTTGAAAATTGTGTTTCTCTTCTACTCAAAAGATATATATATATGTATATATATGTATATATATATATATATATATATATATATATATATATATATATATATATATATATATATATATATATATATATATATACACACACACACACACACACACACACATATACATGCATACATACAGTATATAGCATGGTTTCAATGAAAAATGACCCAATGTTATTTTGAGTTGAAGTCAGAATTATTAATTATTATTGTTTATTTTTTTCCCCAATTTCTATTTAACAGAGAGAAGATTTGTTTAACACATTTCTAATAGTTTTAATAACTCATTTCTAATAACTGATTTATTTTATCTTTGTCATGATGACAGTAAATGATTTTTTGCTAGATGTTTTTTAAAACACTTCTTTACAGCCTAAAGTGAGATTATAGGCTTAACTAGGTTAATTAGGTTAACTAGGCAGGTTAGGATAATTAGGCAAGTTATTGTATAACCATGGATTGTTCTGTAGACTATCAAAAAATATATATAGATTAAAGGGGCTAATAATTTTGACATTAAAATGACTTTTAAAAAATTAAAAACTGCTTTTATTTTAGCCAAAATAAAACAAATTAGACTTTCTCCAGAAGACAAAATATTATCAGACATACTGTAAAAATGTCCTTGCTCTATTGAACCTCATTTGGGAAATATTAAAAAAAGAAAAAAATTCAAAGGAGGTTTAATAATTCTGATTTCAACTGTATAATATTATGTTGTAAAATATAATGGCCCTTTTATAATTCATCAAAAAAAAAAGTTTGTGTTGTTTGTACAATACATACATAAAATGCTTTCAATCATTCCTTTAAAAAAGATCTATAATATAGCATAGTTACCAGTTAGGTGTGTTAGGTGGTGACCGTGAGGGTAGACTCTTGGTCTCCAGTTGTTCCACTGAGCTGGACCTCACCATTGGGTTCAACATTTGCTCTCCTACCAGCTTTCGGTACAGGGGAATAGAGCTTTAACAAAACACATGCAATTAAACTCACATACTCATTTGGTGTTGGCAGCAATGATCTCTAATTAACTCCAGGAATAAAGACTGCCTATTCACCTCAGTTTTGAAGCTGAATGAGATGGTTTCCTGTTGTAGAAGGTGTGGTGGTCCACGCAGGATCTCCACAGGTTCTTACAGGCACGTGAATTTGGCATGGATAGAGAAACCACATGGTGGCCCAGCTCACCCTGTGCAATATATTAAAATGAGGAAAAACACACAACACAAATCATCAAGTCGGAAACAAAGATGTTGCCTTTGCAGTGTTCAGACTCTTTCAGGCATTAAATATGTGGCTTTATTAGGCTAATTTATGTGTTTTGTTTTTGTTTTGATGGATGAGCATGATTAGGCATGCGTATCTTACATGTTTTCGGCGTAGGTGGACAAAGAACCTCTTCCTTTTGAATGAAATTTTGATGATGTTAATCCTGAAAAGAAAGGAGGCATTCAAAAGTGTGCAGAAATAAATGACACCAGAATCAAAACAGTGGTTTGAGGGCTTTTAATTAGACTAATAACACTAATTATACTTTTCTGCAGTGTTTGTAAATTATTCATTGTAATGATAATCACAACACAGATCATAACCCGATAGTTGTAGCACTCTCAAACGTCAATTATAGTAGAGAGAAACATTAATGTTAAAAAAGTGGACTTTTTAAGAACAAAAATTAAGCATGTGTCAAAATATGTACTTACAAAGAGAGAAAGGGAAAGGGATCTGATTGGCAGAACTCACCAGGGGAAAAAGCTGGAGCAAATTAAATGACAAAACAAGGCCACGCCCCCTGATGTAATGCCCACCCAAACGGCAGGGTTGCTGGCATCCTATAGACAGGGATTAAAAAAAGAGAACTAAATCATTCATCAACATGACCAATTTAAAACAAGATTACATGTTATTATAGCTGCAGGATTTTCAATGCAAATTGCACCTGAGCATGATGCAGCTCCACTCCATACAGGTCTAATGTTCTGGCTGTATTTAAATAGCACAGCTCGGCGTCACTCTGAGAGAGACCTCTGAACACACATTCAGACAAGCACTGTTAAACTCTGCATGCGGTGAAAATCAAATAGGGCACAGTGAAATCAGTGTAATATCTTTTTCCAAATTCAGTTTTGCTTTTTCAAATCACATTTTTTTAAATATATTTTTTCCCATTCCATGCTAATTGGTAAAAAAAATAGTCAAATTAAATTAAAACTATTTATTGAGCGTTAAACTACCATTTAATTTGAGAGATAAGTATAGGGTAAGTTTAACCAGAGAAATATACTTTCATTTAAGGCTGTGCGATTTGGGGAAAATATCTACTTGCGATTTCTTGATTTTTTGACTTTTCGATATTGTGATTTCGATTTGATTTCCGATTTAATTTTGCAGTCAAGCGTTGTCTCAAAATTCTGTATTGTAGCTTCTTACTGCTAAAATGAGGTGAGCGTTAGTTAAAAAAGGAACTTACTCCAACTTCTATTCAAATTTGTTTATAAATATTCAGAAACTAAACATTAATTTGTATCTAGAGCAAACAGTAGTGAGTTCTGGCATTAGTTATCCCCTGGTGCCTTTGTGATGTTTTCATATGGTGTAACAGCTGCAAAAAACACTGAAATTGTCCTTTGCTGTTGCTAGCTACTAGATTGAGTGTCACTGGCAATAAATTTAGTTGACTGTTTAGCAAGACACTCCTCAAATAGCCGCCTGTGGTGCTTTTTTAAGTGCTGGTTGTTGTATTTCCTCATTCTGTGGCAACAATTCTGTGACAGCTCTTACAAATGACCTGTTTTTGTTTGGTGTCTGTGACTTTGAAAGCAAAATATTCCCATATTACTGACATTTACCATCTATTAATGCTTATGAAGCGGCAAACGCCATCATCCCACTTATCCACTCTTTCCTGTTTGTTTGTATGTTTTATTGTGGGCTTTCCACAGTTTGGTTGCGCAATTCTGTTTGGGCAGAACGAAAGTGTGCTCACTCAATTGGCTAGTAAGACTATCACATGCAGAAAGCAGTCATGCATTTGCTCTGGGTGGGGGAAATTATATAATACATATATATTTCATATCGCAGCCTTCTGCGATTAGCTAATCGCAATGTTTCAAACCATGATTGCGATTCAATTAATCGCACAACCCTACTTCCATTAAATCATCACCTTAGAATTATAAGGTTCTATCTGACGTTTTTGTCAAAATTGACATAATCTGATTTAATGACAATTTATACATTATACATTCTGGGATTTTTTTTTTTATAAATTGTTTACATTTTAAGATTTTTTATTTAAAATACAAATGTTACACACATACTGTTTGCTATATGGAATGCAAAAACTTTGAAGCTCATAATTATGTTTACTGGAATTTCACAATAACACAGACATAACAAAACATCTTCAAAAGACAAATATTGACACAAAACAATGGAGAAAAAAGGAAAATAAAAAAGTTCAGATTATATATAAAACAGGACCACACAAAATAAAACAGATCAGAATAAGGGCTAAAAACATCTAATTCAGATAATAATACAGTTTCAACATTCCTTTTCCTTTTTATGATAGGGCAAAGACTAGCTTCTAAATAATCCAAATATGGAATCCAAACTTTGGAAAAATGTTCTGTTTTTTTGGTGTAAAACATGGGTAAGATGTTCCAGGGGAATTAACTCAAAAATGATCTTGTGCATCTAGTGCCAACCTTTAAGTAATGGAGATTTATCACTAATCCAGTAAAGTAAAAAAATTTTCTGGCGGCAAAGGTTAATATATTATACAATTTCTTATTAGCTGATGAACAAATGCATCTATTAGGTATACACAAAATCAGTGAAACTGGGTCAAAATCCAGCTGCATGTTAAAGATCTTTTCCATTTTCCTCAGAACCAAAAACAAAACTTTTGCAGTCTGTTACAGTACCTACATCAGTTTTACATTTTAAACACAGAGGCAAATTAGAAGGGTTAAAAAGATGTCTGTGGTGAGGAGAAATGTGGAGTCATGTATGGAGATATGTATCATTTTATATTGTATTTCTCTTGTACGTGTACAAAGAGATACTTTCTTAGCCTAAGACCAAATGTCATCCAATGTTTCCTCATCAAAATCAGTATCTAAATCTTCCTCCCATTTGGTTTAAAAATCGACCCACATGATGACAAAAACAAGAACCTCTCAATAGAAGATATCTTACAACTGAAAAATCATGTTTGAACAATTGGTACTACAGCATTGCTTTTTAATTATTCATCCACACTTTGCCAGATCTGCAAGTCTGACTATGACAGAATCACCCCCACCCCACCCACATCTATGTGGGGTTTTAATATGTTATGTGCTTATAAATACTTTTTCGCATCTGACTTTCTATGATTTTTAAAGAAAATTAAACTATGGGTGTTGTGTATAGAAGGTAGCTGAGATGATGAATGGCATCATGGCTAGTATATTGACATTAGGAACACATTTTCAGGTGCTTAAAATTCAGTTAAACTACTTTAAAAGCAAATAATTACTATTACCATGTCTGACACTGTAGAAACTAGAGAGCAAGACACAAAATGCCTTACAATTCTGGTAACATTTCACTCTTTATTTTGAACCTGCATGGTTAAATTAATCCAACATTGTCACTTGTTATTGTGTAATGGTAAAGAGATAGTTCACCCTTCACAAAAAAAAAGAAAAAGAAAATTAAAACCCTAAAGTGGTTCCAAACCTTTTTAATATTCTTTATTCTGCTGAACATAAAAGAAGATGTTTTAAAGAAAGCTGAAAGCCGCTAACCATTAACATTCACACTATGAAAAACAAATACCACGTAGGTCAATGGTTACAGTTTTCCAGCTTTCTTTAAGAGATCTTCTTTTCTTTTTGGTTGAACAGAAGATATAAACTCAGCGAGGTTTGGAATAAGTGTAGCATGAATAAATGATGACAGAATCTTCAGTTTTGAGTGAACTTTTTTTAAGTAAAAGCAGAGCAGGTAGTGCCACGTGGTGTGACTAAAGCCTAGTTCACACTACAGGATTTTTTTTAACATCAGCAGTTCGCTGTGCCGTTCACACTACATGACTTGACTTTGTGTCTTTTAATCTCTGAGGTGTTCACACTACGCAACACTCTGTGAATGATCCACAAGAGGGGGGTCACACACTACATGATCTGACAACAACTCATTCCCCATCAGCTCATTCAAGCTACCAAACCACAGCCAATGAAATTTTGAGGGAGGAGTCGTCAGAAAAAGCTGAACACTATTGGCTGCTTGTGTGCTGATTACATCACTGACAGCGTTTCAAGCTTTGGAGAAAGCATTTAAAAACATCGTCAAATCAGCTGATTTATCAGCGGATTAATCACTCATCTGCAAGGTTCCAGTGGATTGATACACAGAGAGTTTTTAATTTTTGTAATTTTATAACTCTTTGAAATAAAACTAACATATTTATAACACCCTGCGGTTTTCTTACTATCAGTGTATTTCTTTCTGACATTGTTATTTTTTTATACAAAGAACTAAGCATTTTCGCCTTAAATTACCATATTGGTTAAAATGACTGCATGCATGTCTGATACTTTTCGCTGTGACTTTAAATATGTGTGCATTTTCTTGCCTAGCAATTTCCTGCTAACATAAACAAAACTTTCTGATGGCAAAAACATCAATTTACTTCCGATATCTTTCAAAACAGCATATACTGTGCTGTGAAATAGCTCCTGTTTGAAAGTGAAAATGAAAGCCAAGCCTTTAAGTGTTTTAGTATCTTAACTACATATTTATAGGCTGTATTACCAAAAAAAGATTATATTTTTAGGGTAATGGTGTCATTAAATATGATGCCAGACTATCAAAGCTTAATTTTAATATCTCAATAATAGCTTTGAATGTAAATATGTTGTGACAATATGGCGTTTTATATGAGAACGGTCAGAATGAGCAGTATGGTAATTCTAATAATTACAGAATTCTAGTTCCACTGTTAATATATCCTACTCTCATGTCTGTGCTAACGCAGAATGAAGCGAGCGCACCGATGCCCATTCTGACCAATCACAGATGTTTCTGCTGAGCTCCTGAACACACAGGCATTCAGCTCATGCTGATATGCTCTCTCATTGGCTGCAGCTCGTCACTACATCTAACCACACGTGGGGTTGAGCCGGCCGACTGCTCTGGAATATTTAGCATGCTAAATGTTTGATTTCCATCTGCGTGGTGTCGGCGACGCGTCAGCGAGCCTCGTTGATGTGTTGTTCAGTAGTGCACACATAAAGAGCGGCGAGCGCCGAGCACGCGCAGATTTCTTCCCGATCACAGCCCGATCTGTCGGCGAGCTCGTTAACTTCCAAATCGGGCTCAAATCAGGCTTAAAATCCTCTAGTGGAGGTGGGAACTCATTTGCATATTCATGAAACAACATATAGTAAATGAGGTAACCTTGTAGTAACACTGAAATTATTGTCAGGTATGAAAGGGATTGTTCACCCTAAAACCAAACAAAAATTCTTTCATCATTTTCTCACATCAGTTTGAGTTTTTCTGTTGACACAAGAAAATATATTTTGAAAAATGATAATGAAAAACAAACAAACTGGTAGCTATTTACTTTGTTTGGATGTTAATGGTTACTAGTTTTAAACATTCTTCAAAATATCTTCCTTATTGTTGAACTAATACACAGGTCCCATAAAGGTTTGGAATCTTTTTGATAACAAAATAAGAAATGAAAATGGAATAAAACTGACAGTGAAAACTGTGTGTGCGTGTGTTTGTTTTTGTGTGTGAGTGTGTGTATTGACATACTTGTGCTGTGGATGCAGTGACTCCACCTTTAAAAGGAACTCCTGGTCTTGTTCAGGAATAAAATGAGTTTTACTAAGGTATCCAGTAGGAGTTTCCGGGTTATAATCTCCAAGCTCAGCTGTCAATCAAACAGGAGAATTAGAATGCCATGTTAGAAAACTAGATTGTATGTCTCCATAATCTGCAATCTGTACATTTGACAGGGCCATTAACCCCAGCTATTTCTGTCGGAAGAAACATGGCTTTCCCCAAGCACACAGAAACATTCTCTGCTATATCTAGGCTGTTTCTATGCCAGGGCTGCCAGTCACACAGTGAGGAGCTGTAATTTCCTTGACTTACACTGAACGGAGTAAGAAGCCAGTACCACGGCTGAGCTTAAAGGACACTTCAGTCTGCAATAAAAACACATCATTATTTTTTCATCAACATTTGTCAATATAAAATATGTAGTCTATTTCTTATTTAAATGTCAGGGTACCAATGTCCACAGTGTTTAAAAATTCACATTTAATCTCAATACTGATTTGACCAGATCAACCTCTCAGTCCATGAGTCACAACTTGAAACACCAGTTTTTCAAGAACAATGGAACCAGCACCAGGAATAATTTATATTAATGTGGGTTGCTTGTATTTTTTGATTAAATCGTTAGTTCGTTCATTCGTTCATTCATTCATTCATTCATTCATTCATTCATTCATTCATTCATTCATTCATTCATTCATTCATTCATTCACTCATTCACTCATTCATTCAATCAATCAATCAGAATAATTGTCATTAATATGGGTTGCTGGTATTTTTGATGGATTCGTTCGTTCGTTCATTTATTTATTCATTTATTCATTAATTCATTTATTCATTCATTCATTCATTCATTCATCCATTCAATCAATCAGAATTATTGTCATTGATGTGGGTTGCTTGTATTTTTGATCGATTCGTTCGTTCGTTGATTCGTTCGTTCATTCATTCAATCGTTCAATTATTCATTCATTCAATCAATCAATCAATCAGAATATTTATATTAATGTGGGTTGCTAGCATTTTTGATCATTCATTCATACATTCATTCAGAATATTTTTTAGTAATGTGTGTCGCTGGTATTTTTTTAATAATTCATTCATTCATTCACTCAATCAGAATAATTGTTATTAATGTGGGTTGCCATTATTTTTTATTATTCAATCATTTTTTCAATTTCTTTTCAGCTTAGTCCCTCTATCAATCTGGGGTCACCACAGCGGAATGAACCGCCAACTTATCCAGCATATGTTCTACGCAGCGGATGCCCTTCCAGCCGCAACCCATCCCTGGGAAACATCCATACACACTCATTCAAACATATACACCATGGACAATTTAGCTTACCCAATTCACCTGTACCACATGTCTTTGGACTGTGGGAGAAACCGGAGTACCCAGAGGAAACCCAGGAAACCCGGGGAGAACATGCAAACTTCACAGAAAAATGCCAACTAACTCAGCCGAGGCTTGAACCAGCGATCTTCTTGCTGTGAGGTGACAGAATTACCTACTGCGCCTACTGCCACCGCCTTGCCTTCATTTAATCAATCAATCAAAATAATATTTATTAATGTGGGTTGCTGGTATTTTTTGTTTGATTATTCATTCATTCATTCATTCTGAATATTTTATTAGTGTGGGTTGCTGGTATTTTTGATCATTCATTCATTCATTCATTCATTCATTCATTCATTCATTCATTCATTCATTCATTCAATCAATCAGAGTAACTTATATTAATGTGGGTTGCTGCTATTTTTGATCATTCCTTCTTTCTTTCTTTCATTCATTCATTCAGAGCAATTTTTATTAATGTGGGTTTATTGTATTTTTAATCATTCATTCATTCATTCATTCATTCATTAAGAATAATTTTTATTAATGTGGGTTGCTGGAATTTTTGATCCTTCATTCATACATTTATTCACTCAGTCAGAATAATTGTCTTAGTCCTTTTATTAATCCAGGGTCGCCACAGCAGAATGAACCGCCAACTTATCCGGCAAGTTTTTTACGCAGCGGATGCCCTTCCAACCGCAACCCGTCTCTGGGAAAGTTCATTCATTCAATCTGAATAATTTTTATTAATGTGAGTTGCTGGTATTTTTGATCATTCATTTATTTATTCATTCATTCATTAAATCCGAATAAATTTATTAATGTGGGTTGCTGGTATTTTTGATCATTAATTAATTAATTTATTTATTTATTCAATCAGTTAATTGATTTATAGAGTTCAGCTGCAAAAGCTTCTACACGGCATCTGAAAATTTCTTCTGAAATGAGCAATTTTCTCAGCCTCCTGTGTTTATGTTCAGTGATTACTTTAAGGTAATGAAAAGTATCTATTCATCGGCATAAAAGTGAAATCACTGAACCTATGTGCAGGAGCCTAAACACTTGCTCATTTTAGAAAACATTTTTAAAATGCACTTTTGCAGCTGAACTCTTCAAAAAATAACATGTTCAGAAGAGTTAAGAAATTAATATTAGCAGAAAATGCAGGAATATTTAGGTTTTCTATCATAATAAATGAAAACATCTGTTATTCCGATCAATTGTCAGTTTCTGAAAAGCTACAATTTTATGCCTTGGTGGGCATCAGCAACTTGTTTCTTTCTTTATTATTATTATTATTATTAGAGGGTAATATGCTTTTGTGTGAATGCATGGGATATTTACCTTATTATTTATATACTTATTTAGTGTATAATTATGTTTTCCTAATAGATTCTTCTTTGGTGTACTGAACTAGTGCGTGTTATTTTTATGGTGTTTGGTTTTTAAAGTTTACTTCATTCATTTATTTTCTTTTTGGCTAAGTCCTTTTTCTAATCCGGGGACACCACAGCGGAATGAACCGCCAACTTATCCAGCATATGTTATACAAAGCGGATGCCGCAACCCAGCACTGGGAATTTGTATGTTTATATGTATCCTTTGTATTTACAGTGTTTGTTATTTTCGGGCTGACCTAAAATGAACCTAATATAGCAAAAAACTAAACTTGGTATGAAAAAAAATTTATATGTTTACATGCAAGTGTAGATGTAGGTGAACTCAGGATTTACCTTCCCTCACAGATGTCCTTCCTGATTTGCAAGAAATAAAAATGCCTAAAAAACAAAATAAGGGTAAAAAGAAACTCTCACTGAATCCACGTATATACATAAAAATACATATTCATTTCTTTCTCATTTGCACATAAAAGTGAGATGTACCTAGTCTGCTCATGCTGGAGGGAGTTTGGGTCAGAGATGAAGAACCGCACTCGGAACATTAAAAAGAATGGAGGAGATCCTGAGGGAATAACATTAGGAGAGAAATAGTAATAACAATAATAACATTGATCCCAGTTAAACATAAGCATAGTCTCACAGTTTTTAAAACAAAAAGAAAGGAAATCATTGTTTTGGCAACTGGCCAGAAATGTAAGCAAAGCTATTAGATGCTAATTTGAAGGTAAAACAGAAGGTGGGCACTGAAGCGTGAGCAACAATCAGGGTCTCTTGCTTAATACTGAAAGCACATCACGTCTGGTGACTCAGCTTAGTTGATTCATTAAATCAGCCCACTCCAAATCTCAGGAGGAAAACAAACATGTGTCTCTTGATGTGCTTTTTAGGGAAACGTAACTCTTTATGGCCAAGTGAAATAAGTTATAATACACCCTTATCTCCAAACTCAATATGGTTATGCATAAAATCTGCTCTCACTGAATTTCTGCTGAAAGTCATGCAGAGTTCTACAGAATTCAGACAGGATTACATTACCAACCCTGACTTTAGCATGTCTGCATGTCTTCATACTCATCAACTTATTTAATTTTAATTTTATTTCAGATTATTATTGCATCTTATTTTATTTTGTCAAATAAATAAAATAATAAATTTTAATAATAAAAAGAAAAAAAAATATATATATATATACAGTTGAAATCATAATTAATAGCCTCCCTGAATTATTAGACCCCCTGTTTATTTTTTTCCCTAATTTCTGTTTAACGGAGAGAAGATTTTCTTAACATATTTCGAAACAATAGATTTAAATGTTATCTTTGTCATGTTGACAGAACATAACATTTAACTAGATATTTTTCAAGACACTTCTATACAGTTTAAAGTGACATTTAAAGGCTTAACTAGGTTAATTAGGTTAACTAGGCAGGTTAGGGTACTTCGGCAAGTTACTGTATAATGATGGTTTGTTCTGTGGACTAGCGAAAACAAATAAAGCTTAAAGGAGCTAATAATTTTAACCTCAAAATAGCTATTAAAATTTTTTAAACTGTTTTAATTACTATAATGTACTATAATAATGTACTATAAATAGTCATTTGAATGACAAATAATACAATATTATTAAATTACTGTTGTTATTGTTTTTATAATTTTACTAATCTGCAGCAAGGAATTCTAAATGTAAAAATGGGATTGGCAAATGCTAAATAAAAAAAATTGAATTAAATACTGTAAGTTTGACAGGTATAGTCTATGAAAAAAATGGTAAAACCAACACATCAACTAACTCTACTATCTGATTATGGTAATAAAATCTGCTTCCACATAACTTCTGCAGAACATCCTGGAGATTTCCACAGAATTTAGACCCAATTTAGACCGCAATACACATATTTAACAATATTCCAATATTCATCAACCCAAACTTTACCACTGCACTACAATAGATATATTAAAAAATACATATGGCACTACAAAAAAAATACATGCATTTTTTACTTAGAGATTTTGTTTTGTTTCTAGTCTAAATATATAAGAATTCTTAAATCAAGAAGCCCTTTCCAGACAGGTCTTGTTTTTGGAATATCTAGTTGAAATTAATTATGTTTTTTCTTAAAACAAGCAAAATGATCTGCCAATAGGTTAAGCAAAAAAAAAACTTTTTCAGAGGTTTCAAAACTATGGCTTAAATCAATTATGAAATGCACTATATTAAAATGCTGATAAGGAGAGGTTAATGTATACATATATAATTAATGTATAATGTATATTTAAATATATATATATATATATATATATATATATATATATATATATATATATATATATATATATATATATATATGTATATATTTATGTGTATGTATATATATATATATATGTGTGTGTGTGTATGTGTATGTGTATGTATGTATATATATATATATATATATATATATATATATATATATATATATATATATACATACATGGGAATTTAGACATTTGAACATTTTAATGTACAATATAAACTTATTTTTTTTAAGCATTATTAATGTATTATAATAATTACTATTAATTTATTTTCCTTCGGCTTAGTTTTTATTTCACAGGTCGCCACAGCATAATGAACCGCCAACTATTCCAGCACATGTTTTTCTTTAAACTGTAAAATATGGGCAAATGTGTATGGAATATTAGTCAAAATGATTTTCCACAACAACCATCACCTAGAACATAAAACAAAAACATCAACTCTATGCAGCCTTAACTATCAGTGTCTAGTATCTCTCACCCTTCAGCTGCTTCTTAAAGGGTTTGTTGGGATCCAGCCACCTCTGAAATGACAGATATTATCAATTAAATCATCTCGTTAAAAGACAGGGCATTGCATTTCACAACTTGTGGTTCATAGCAATAAACGCTTGATCTCTCATTCAAACAAACACACATTCAGTTACCGGAGAACTGGACGTGTCCTCGCTGATCTGCATGCTGAAGTACTGTTTCTCCACTATGTTTAGGTGTTCACAAGCCAAGTCAAAGAGCAGATGACCAGCATCATGTTTCTGCAAAGCATTAAAACATGCTATCCTGTTAAGCAGCAGTTCAACAAACCTATCTTTATATCATGATTGATACATAGTGATAATGTACAAAAACATGTCAAAAACACTGTAACTAATAGTTTTTTTTCTGTTGTTGATGCTGATATTAATATCTAGAAACAAAGGTGGGCTATATAATTATAAATGTCAACTGTGTATAGTGCTGTTAAACAGAACATTTTTTTCCCCTGACACATTTTAAACATAATAATTGTAGGAACTAACTTCTAATGTCTTTGCTATAGTCACAGTACATAATATTTTCTAGTTATTTTCAAGATACTAGCATTCAGCTTAATGTGCAAGGCTTGACAAAGTTAATTAGGTTAACTAGGCACATTAGTTTAATAAGTCATTGGACAACAGGAGTTTGTCTTGTTTTAGGCACTGCACATACATTACCACAAACATTTAGACTAGGACTGCGCGATACTGAAAAAATCTGCAATATTTTGTTTTGCTGTGATATGTAGTGAATATAATTTCAATAGATGCTTTGAATAGCTCCAATTGGAATGACTTCATTAAATTAGATTGACTGGGATGATTGTGTCTTTCTATGCAGTGCATCTACAGTACATAAATTACAGTATATTACAAGCATATAGTAATATGACAAAAATAAACTATTCTTTATGTTTTTCTAGGGAGTCTAACAGTATTTAGGTACAGAAAATGAACAAGAAATGTAAAATAACATGGTCATCACTGTATAAATATTTTAAAAATTATGATATCTTTGTCTTTTAATCTTTAATAAGGAATCTAATCCTGCAATGTGACTATTGCGGATACACACATATGGATATCCATGCTCAAACAGTATATTCAGCCCTAATTTGAACTCTGTATTATTACCTTTTAATGTCTTTGTGCTCAGCAAGGCTGTTGGTATTTCAGAAATCAGGTAAAAACTGTAATATTCAAACATTTGATATTGAACACACTATAAAATGCTATTTCATCCTGCAGAAATGACTCTTAATTTTAAGGATCATTACTTCACATGACCTTCAGAAATCATTCTAATAAACCATGTTTTGCTGTTCAAGAAACATTTCATACTATTTATTTACACAATATGTTGCACAATATTGTTCTGTATTAAGTGAAGTACTTGTACTATCTGTCTGTGTATAGTTATAACCAGCGTTGGGGAAAGTTACTTTGGAAAGTAATACATTACAATACTGAGGTACTCTCTTAAAAAGTAACTATTGTGTTACTTTTATGATAGGTAATGCGTTACGTTACTTTTGCTTTACTTTTTCTTATCAGGCTGAGGCTTGCAGGTTTTTTTTCTTTTCTTTTTTCTAAATAGAGGATCTCTGAAAATAAGACACTGTATAACCTACACCTTTCTTTACTGTACCTTAAACTGAACCCTCTTCGGAGAAAATGAGTCCAGAGCTCTATATGCTGTATATACAACATAATGAATGTTTAAAGCAATGTGTTTACTTCTTTTGTACTTTTTGTCTTATTAGTGAAGTACAAACCATTTCAAGTGGAATTCCTTTTCTTCCATGTTTTCAAAACAATGAATGCATTCTCATTTCAATTTTTATTCAACAATTAGCTTTTTTAAAGCTAATTAATTAAACAAAAAAGTTACTTGCATTACATTTTTTAAAAAGTAACTTAAATATTATTATTAAATTTTTGTAAGTATTGCATTACTCAATACTTAGAAAAGTTATATTATTATGTAACTCGCGTTACTTGTAATGCATTACCACCAACACTAGTTACAACTAATAATGTAACTGTTTATTGTATATGTGTAGTTATATTAAGGCTCCAGTATGCTAGCTATATACGTTGTCTTCGAATTCATGTCCTGCAAGACACAACATTAAGTTCCACTGTATGTCCTCCAGAGTTGGTTGTATCGTGTTCCACAGTAACGTTACTGTATTTTAATTAAAAGTTTTGAGGAACGAAGTGATGAAGTGCATTACATTTTGAATTTATGTAATTTGATAAATTTTTTTTTTAATTACGTTTTCCACTGCAATGTCAGTTAATAAGCATGCGATTTTAAACTGCTGGAAAACACAATATTAAATAGCTGCCGTCGAGAGTGGCTGCTTCTTCAAGTGGAAATACAGATATTACTTTGATTTCATGGAGCATAAAAACAAAAATAGTGCTATGAAATTCCGTCTATGTCTAGTTTCTAAAAACATTCAACTACTTTTAACTCGACCAGCAACTTGTTCAAGCACTTGAACAGAAAGGATTCTAAGACAATACTAGTCACCAAAAAGGACATCGGCACCCAAAAACACGACGGCCCAACTCGGCCTAAACAAGCTAAAGTGGATTTTTATGCTGGATTGGGAGTGAAGGCATCTTGAAGATAATGAAGAGAAGCGTAGCTGCTTGGGGGTAGTTTACATTTGTCATCTTTTGCACGCATATGTAGTGCATACTGTATTGCGCACTCTTGCATTTCCCAGGCGCACCAGTTGAAAACCGTGAGTCACTTGCAACTTATACTTGCAACTTACAATTGACCAATCAGCTTCCACTGCAGTGCTTTTTCATACTATGGATGTCAATGGTTGCATTTATCCAGTTTTCTTCTTAATGACTTATTTCGTGTTAAAAGAAAAGACAAACTGGTTTGGAACAAGTAAATAATGAGAGAGTTTTAAGTTTTTGATGAACTCTAAGTCTTTTGAATATGTCAGGCTGCTGTGTTCAACCCATTGTAATGTTTTTCAGTCATTACATAAAATTACTGAAAGAGCTGCAGGTTATTTAGTGTTTTTATAGGTATATTTTATATGTTTGAAAAGTAGCTTCAAAGTAAAGTAATTAGTAATCTGATTACTTTTTACATGAAGTAATTAGTAATGTAATTAGATTACAATTTCTGGGTAGTAATCATTTGTAATTGATTACTTTTTGAAAGTAACTTACCCAACAATGATTTCCACATTTGTAGTGGAATGAAAATAAAGCTCAGCTTGACTTTAAACAAAAATAGTCCAATTTAAAAACAATATAAAATAAATCAATATTTGATAATACTAGTTTAAATAACAATTCACATAATTAACTATTGGCTAATTACCTAACTATTATTACGACATTAACTGTTTATTAGCACTTATAAAGTATGATTGTATTTGTTATATCTCTAATCCTACCCAATACATAAACCTACAACCTTAATAATATTAATAAGCAGCTAATTAGCAGTTTATTGAGCTAAAAGTCTTAGATAATGCTTAATGTTAATAATAGCATGAATTGTGCATTAAAATAAAGTGACCCAACATTTTAACACTTATATTCAGCTCATTGTGACCTTCATCGAGCACTTCAGTCCCACTGCCCTCATTTTCATCATCTAATGTAAGACCCTATTTTCTGTTGACTCCTTCATGGCTGCTCAAATATGTGTGTACGTGTGTGTCCTTCAGAATATGAAGCCAAGGTTGCAGCAGGATAGTATGGAACATGAGAAGAATAACATCCGTGTATAATATAATATCTCCACCCTCCAACAGGCAAGCTCAATGAAATGTGCACATTCAGCCAACTTTCACTCAATATACAACCAAAACCCATCTGCATGCATACATAGGCTTATTATACTCACATTGACAGTAAAATTTTGCGTCGTGCCATCAGGGAAGAGCACTAAACACAGTAGGCCGGAGCGTGGCATGTGTGTATGTTTGGACAGATCGGCACGTCCGAGAGCAGTGATCTTGTTTCCGAGCATGCACCATGGGGATGTCATCTCAGAACACTACCACACATGCACACCTGCCGAAACAAGAGTCAAGACAGGTTAAACGCAAGCATTTGCAAAGTGACGATGACGAATATGATGACTGCCAGTAATAAAGTAAGGGGACATGTGCAGAGAATGTCTGTACATACCGTTCCACTGGTGTGAAACGATTGTATACAGGATAAACACTCTCATTCGGTGTGTAACGGATATTTAAAAAAGCATGTTGTGAATTGCATCCGATGACGAGGGCTTGGCAAATCCCTCATAAATGTAATTATATGTCCTGATACAATGTTCCACCCTAGAATGATGAATGGACAGGTCAGCGCAGATACTGTGGGTAAGACACAATCACCCAAATAAGAAGTAAAACATGTACTGTATTTAGTGGTTATTTAGTGTGAGAGGCATTTCAGTTTTGGATGGTCACAATGAAACTGCTTTAAATGATGTCAGATCTAAAGCAAGCATTTGGGTTTCATTAGCTCTCTCTTACTCATCCTTTTCTGTTCCCCGCATGCACTCACTCACACTCTCTAGGTCTAAACATGTTCTAGCATTGTTTTTAACACTCGTCTCTTCTCCTCCCAGCACAGTCCAGGAATGTGGACTACTTTACTACCAGGCTGAGACAGATAAATACTTTCTCTTGCCAGTTAGTGACAATAGTAAAAGAGGGAAATGTAATGAAAATTTGACTTGCTTGATTGGGACTTGTGGAGCTGTGCAAGAATGGATTTGCTCTTCAGTATATGGACTTTCAGCAGTGAAGTTTGAACTGAACTAAACTGAACTTAAACAACTTGAACTTAAAAAAAACTGGACTGACACAGTTTCAATCTACTAGAACTTCTGTGTTAAGCTGAATTGACACAATCTACATTGTAAAAGCGCTATAGAAATAAAGATGAATCGAGTTTAATTGAAATCACGTTCCTATTTAGATTAGATGATTAGATTAGATTCAACTTTATTGTCATTACACATGTACAAGTACAAGGCAACGAAATGCAGTTTAGGTCTAACCAGGAGTGCAATAGCAGCAAGTGCAAGATACAGGTGTAAGATATAAAGTGCAGTTATAGAAAAACTATGGGTATTTACAGATGATGTACAGTGAACATCATGTACAGGTTGTATTAACTATGAACAGAGATTTACAATAGATGAATGCATGTACAGGTTGCTATTAATAATCAGAAGTGTGCAGATAGATATGAACATAATTACACGTGTGTATGTACAGTGGGTATGTCTAGTTCAAATAAATGAATCAGTGCAATGAATATGTGCATTTTTTAAATGTGCAAATTTTAATAAATAATAATAATAATAATATAAAAATAATACTAAATTATTATTAGTAGTAGCGCAACGATTATGAGGGGTATAAGTTATGAATGTCCTGCATTTCATTTTGAGGACAGTCATGCGTCTGTCATAGTGTACGAGACACCTTTTAATACATTTTTAATGTACTACTGTTTCCTATATTGATTATAAAGAAAACATCATTATCTAAAAGTAACAGGCTGCTGTCTGTCCCATTTTGACACTCTTCATTCATTGAAAAACATTGCTTGAATTGGCAAGGCAGATTGCTGGAAGTAAACACCCACTTTTAAGTTTGGCTAACAGCTTTGCATACTTTAAATGTTTCAAATTTTGCGTCTAAGATTACATCCTAAAGTTTGTATTGATGGCAGTGAACCCACCGGCGTGTGTTTGACAGCCTACCCCACACCCTTCATGAATGGATGTCGTTCTGATTTTGGTTGCTATGCTTAAATGCTAAGCAAATAATCCTTATGAAAATCCAGTGTCAAACTGTGCTTTGTTGGTATGCAAATTGATGGTAAAACTATGTGAACAAAGTATCAGGTTTTTAATTATGCTTAAAGTTCTTAATAGTCCTGTTAAGTATGTTGAAATGTGCATTTTTGCATGTGTGATGTAATTTCAACTGAAACATGAAGATGGGGTGGAACAGTGTAGCTCCTCCTCCCCTTTTAAAAAACACAGCCGATAACATATCGTTTTTAATCAAAGCTCAGTCATTGAGAGCAGTTGAGATCAGGTGTATCAAATGAAAAGCAAATAAGAACCATCTTGAAGGGGGCGGGACATCTCAGATATTAGAGAGCATTTGATTGGTCAGAAGATTTGATAAAAAAACTGAACAATGAGGTCATGTTTAATAAAAAGCTTGATTCGTTTTCTAAAATGCAAATTTTGTCACTGTTTTTGAGCACACTAAATTATAGATATCCTTAAAACTAACAACCTGATACTAATACCCAAATATTTATTTTGATTTCAGGGAACTTAAATGATCTAAAACTTCATTAAAAATATAGTTCATAATATACTCTTTCCTAATTTTGGGATCTGAAGGATAATACAAAGACTGGCATTGCAGAGCAGGTTGTTGTTTTCAGACTATCTTTATCATTCTGTTACTGCAAAAAAACCTTCATTTGGCTTTTTCATTATTTACATAATAAATATAATAATAATTCCTTACATAATAATTCCTTACATTTATATAGCGCTTTCTGGGTACTCAAAGCGATTTATAGATGCTGTGGGGAAATCTCCTCATCATCTATCAGAGTGAGACAGGAGTTCATGATGGACAGAAGCCAGCTGACAAATTTGGCCAGGATATCGGGAACTAGGGCTTGGCCAACATAATATTAAATCAAATTGCAATAAAATTATTTTCCATAACAATGACAAGCTCTTGACATTTTTACTCGATTTTGATCTAAGAGCAAATCACTCAGCAGCAATATGCGACAAAAACAACAACCAATCAGCATGAAGTAAAAAGACCATTTCCTTCTCCACTTTTCCACTTTTAAACTCTACAAGATGACAAAAACAAAGAAATAATGAGTGAAAGCAGTGATGTCTGACGTGGTTTTCAAATGGCTGTGTAAATAGTATATAGTGTTGTCTTGAGCATTTTCAGGACGTGTCACCAAAATCAATTTTTGCAATGGAAAACATTTACAGAGTAAACTGTCATAATGAAAATATGACAAAGCCATTTGACTATCTTACACACAATGGTGTCAGCAGGCACATGCACACATAGGGCTCAACCTGTGCAATGCACATGCCCTTTTTAGTCTTGGATAGAAAGTGCCCTTCCAAAATGATCAAAAGTCTAATTTTTAACCCCTCTAACTTTTGTTGCATGAATTATTTTCTTTTCGGCTTAGTAGTATGTTAAGTTTCGTATTGAATTTAAAATATTACTTCTCACCTATAAAGCTCTAAATAATCAAGCTCCTGTTTATCTAACCAACCTTCTGTCTCGCTACAAACCAACTCGCTCTTTAAGATCTCAAAATTCAGGGCTTCTGGTAGTACCTAGAATAGCAAAATCAAGTAAAGGAGGTCGAGCCTTCTCTTTCATGGCTCCTACACTCTGGAATAGCCTTCCTGATAACGTCCGAGGCTCAGACACACTCTCCCAGTTCAAAACTAGATTAAAGACCTATCTGTTCAGTAAAGCATACACTCAATGCATCACCTAGCGGGTTCCACACTGGCTTCTGCATCTTGCTTATATACACTATGAAAAGCAGCTACGCTAATTATTTTCTTTATTCTCTATTTTCACCTGGGGATACTCATCCCGAGGTCCTCAGATTATGCGGAGTCACTGATTGGTTCCAAGACCAGCGACGTGATGATCCCAAGGATTCCATATCCGGGACCAGGCCATATCCTGAGCTGCTGCTGCGCTGATGGTCATGGGGAGTGGAGAATTTGAGTCTGATTCCAGCGACGCTCCAGGGACAGACGAGTCTTCGCTGAGGCCATCTTCCAGCCTAAACCACGGCGAATGAAGTTCTGCACAAGACTTTTGGCCAGCGGAGAAATTAAAATGGTCGTGCCCAACTGAGTCTGGTTCTCTCAAGGTTTTTTTTCTTCACTCCCATCAGGTGAAGTTTTTTTCCCTCTCCGCTGTCGCCACTGCCTCGCATGGTTCAGGATTGGTAGAGCTACGCATCGAGGAATTGGCTCTTCAGTGTTTGAACTCTCAGTAATGATTAAATCACACTGAACTGAGCTAAACTGAACTGAACTGAACTTAAACACTAAAACCTGAACCACACTGTTCCAGTTACTGAACCACACTGTTCCAGTTACTATGACCATTTATGTGAAGCTGCTTTGACACAATCTACATTGTAAAAGCGCTATACAAATAAAGCTGAATTGAATTGAATAGTCCCTTTATTAATCTGGGGTTGTTACTGTGGAATGAACTGCCAACTTATCCAGCATATGTTTCATGCAGCGGATGTCCTTCCAACTGCAACCCATCACTGGGAAACATCCATACACACTCATTCACACTCATACACTACAGACAATTTAGCTTACCCAATTCACCTGTACCACATGTCTTTTGAATTGTGGGGGAAACCGGAGCACCCGGAGGAAACGCACGCGAACAAGGGGAGAACATGCAAACTCCACACAGAATTGCCAACTGACCCAGCCGAAGCTCGAACCAGCGACCTTCTTGCTGTGAGGTGACTAAGCACTAACTACTGCGCCACCACGTCACCTGAATCAGTCATTCTTGGGATAATTAATTTTAAAACTGGAAGCATTAACAACTTATATCAAAATTTATCATTATTGTTCAATATGGAAAAAATATCACCCAGCCCTATCGGGAACACACCCTTACTCTTTTCGAAGAACATCCTGAGATTTTTAATGACCACAGAAAGTCATGACTTTATCCGAAGAATGATGCTTGCTAAACAGTATAGTATCCCTTATACTTCTGCGTCTCAATAAATTTAACTACACGTCGCAATGCTGCCTAGAGCAAGCTCTGTGATTGTTCGGCCTGGCGCTGACGAGTGTGGATGGGACCGAAAGTCGCAAAAACCCGCTGGAACAAGTGTTTACAAGTGTCAAGTCCCGTCAGGCCCAGATTAAGAATTCAGAGGCCCCTGGGCACAATGTCTTGTACAGTAGGACCCCTACCTAACCGCACCCCTATGGTTGAATTAATAAATAAGATTAATATTATATATTTTTATAAAATTAATCTTTTAATTTTAATCTGTATTGCCCGCAATTTTTAAATAAATGGTATACGGTACATATATGTCTAGTCTACAAAGATTTAACTTATTTTTAAAGCAATTAAGGCATACTTTGGAAAAAAAAAACTAATACAACTAGAGAAAATTAATGGATTTTAATTTACTTGTTCAAGTTAAATGAAGCAGTACTTAAATTGTATAGTTAAGGGTATTTTTAATGTATAACTCCTACAAACTTATGATGCTTATGATTTGGATATAACACCTCTCCAATCCAGTTCAATGAATCTGAGTCTTCCATAATACACACACTTATTACGGATTCCTACTTTCCTTCCTCGAGAGGAAGAGTAGGCAATATCTGATATGTAGTGAGGAAAAAAGAAAAACGTGTTCATCAGACGCTGGATTCGAAACTGCGTTCATGATCAATCGCATCAAAACATGTTGCCATGCACTTTATGAGCTTCGAGACTCACGCTGCTGTCTACTGCACTCTTTAGTCATGTTGTCTCTGTCAATCAAACGGTGATGGCCGTTAATCACTTAACTAGCTTATTCCAACAAGATGCACTATTTGCAATTAGCCTAAATACACTCCAAAATCTGCATTTTTCTCTCCCTCGCAGGGGCCCCAAGTGCGCATGGGACTCTGGGCCTGCGCCCATAATGCCCATTTTAATCAGGCCTGAGTCACGTGAAGGAGCTCCAGATATAAAGTTTTGCTTTGCGTTTACCTTATAATTAAAGTTGTAGCACGTCCACCGATTCCCGCCTCAAAATGAGAGAGTTTGACCCACTTGTTCATTAAGATTCGTTCAGAAAAACAAAAGACCAGCGAAGAAACTCAACAGAGAGGAACATAAAAACCTCACTGCCAGCTAGGATTTCGGAACTGTTATTGCAGAGCAACACAAACAGCATGCAGAAGTATAAATGCATGTCAACGCACAAGGCATGTGCTGTGGGTCATGCCGATCACTCGACGCAGAAGTATAAACCCGGCTTTACAGTATAGTGTTACTATACTGGGGCATTAGGATCCCTACAGACTACAGGGTAAGCACCCCCAGCTGACCTCTATAACACCTCTTCCAGCAGCAACCAATACTGTATTGCCCCTCGTACCATCATTCACTATATCCTACATTAGTCCACTAATATAGTTCACTTGAAGTAGTGAATGAAACTAGTAAGTGAATTCAAGCACCAAAAGGGATGCCATTTTGTTTGTGCTTTGCTGTTTGACCAGGTGCAGCCCTGCTTGGCTTCAGTGGGCTACCATGTGAGAGCTGAGAAAGCTAGCAGCTGGCAGCTATCTATACTCGAATCAGTGGGTAGAGCCTAGACAGGCAGTGATGTAAAAGCAGGCATTGATGACCTTTTGAGAAGGCGGAGTTTAGACACACTATTACATTATGTCATGTTGGCTGTGAGTGGCTTCTGCATAAGCTGTATTATACGAAGAAACTTGATTAAAGTGATACACTGTAGTTATAGTATAGTCTTTAATAATTTCAATAATACTTGTATATTCGGGAATGGATGTACTATGAACATTATATCGTAGCTAATACAACCTGTATATAATGTTTATAGTACAGTACATCCATCTGTAAATATTACCCATAGTTTTTAATATTTGTTATTATAACTTATACCTATACCCTACACTTGCTGCTCGTGCACTCCTGGTTAGACCTAAACTGCATTAATAATTCCGTTAAAAGTGTGATGAACTGAGAAATAAATTCACTTGATCTTTTGACATGTAAGAGGTCACTGCACTATGAACAAATATACTGTAAGTTATAGAATGCAAAGTATTTTTATGTGTCTAAATGAATTCTGTGTCCGCACATTAGTCTGTGCTGTCACTGTTTTGTAGTGTCATTTTTTAAATAAATATGCATAAATCAAGTTTTTCACACAAAAACTGTTTTCTGTCTAAGATATAGTCTACAGTTTTTGTAAATATGTACAGTAATAATAATATAGGACAAGTGTGTCAAATGTTTGCACTATTGCCAATTATAAGGCTGCACTGTGATAATTAAAAAAATACATAATGCCTCATATACTAGAGACAGACTAAATGATATCTGCTCTAATTAAATTGCGCTACCTCATCCCTAGTGTGTATTGTATAGTGTACAGTTGTAATTTTGGTGTACATGCATTTATGACACCTTCTTATGGGGTAGTTCACCCAAAAACTAAATATTACTGATTACTTGGTGACCCTCAATTGGTTATAAAGCTTTGTTAGTTACTTTATGTTGTTAAACACAAAGATATGCTGGAAAAAAAGCTGAAGAGCTGTAAAAAGTAGTAAAAACAAATAGATGTCAATAGTTACATTTTTTCAGCTTTCTTCAAAATATCTTCTTTTCTGTTTAACAGAAGAAGTCGAACAGGTTTTGAACAAGCATGAGGATGAGTAAATAACAGAATTTTCACTTTTGGGTGATCTATCTCTGCAAACACTGTGTAAATGCCACCTCAGATACACTTCTGTGCCACCTTTAAAGTGCAAATTTGACATTAGACAAGTAAACATGAACGTGAACTGGTGATGTGACAATACTTTATAATTTGGGAGAGACAAAAGACACATGACATAAATCAGAATTTGAGACAGAAATCCATCATATGGACACACTAAGTTATTTGACATAAGATTTTTAACAGCCTGTAGTTACTTCAGATTAAGCTACATTAAATACCTCTTGTTCTTTCAGACTTAACCTCACAGATCCAGTTTGTGGACGCTCTCTGTGACTGTTTGCAAATGCAGAAGTCTCACTGATCTGTCTTTGTATACAATGTTTCCCTTTTTGACCATATAAAACGCATAGTTGCAGTCTGAAGTGGGTGTTTTACTTTCGCTCACGGTTAGAGCAGCTCTGACGTTTACACTGGAGGTTAATATTTACCAGCAGCTCGGTTGCAAAAGCACTACTTTACACGCTCGACTTCACTTTTAAGCGACGCGATATTTACGGCTTAGGACATGTAATTACTTGAACCATCCTAAAAAACAAAGAGCCTTTGACTCAAACTACTGTAATATTATGAGTTTGAAACAAAAAAGTAACACAGGACGGTTTAACAGGAGAAAACAGTTTAAAGTTTCTGTATGAGGGCTTTTCTGGGTGTGACGTCTTGCATTTCTGACTCAAGTTCACGCTGGTCTGCTCAGGCTTTAGGTTCGGGCTCTGTCACAAATCTGAACCGAAGTGTCACCAAACCGAGCGGGGTGAACGACAGGACAGTTCTTCTGCTCCAGCGTTTATGACCTCAACATATTTCGAGATCATATTTCGCATGGAAAGAAACAAATCCAGGAGCTTTATCGCGATATTTCCCATAAACAGTCTAGGAGTGAACCGATTTGTTGTTCTTAAAGCCAAATATACGTCGTTTGACAATGTTCTTCTTTAGCCCACAAAGTTGGAGTTCATGCAGGGACATTCATACATCAGAAAAGCGTCAGAAAGTTACCTGCTCGAGCTGTTCCCAATATTTCTGCAGTGTTAGAAGTTCTTACAATCCCCGAGATGAGAGAAAAGTTTCCATGTTAAGGCGATCATGGTCGCAGGTGTCGGTAAACTTCCGGAATATGTTATTTTTCTCTCTCTTGGTTCCTTCGGGAGGGCAATAACGGCGTCACTGCGCTGACCACGAGTGCAGGATCTATTGTGATCATGTAGCAATAGTTTTGTTTTTATGCTCCCCTTCCCACTGCTGGGGTGGTTGCAACACACATTTTACAGATTTCATGATGTGAATGTGATTGTCAGACCTAGCCTGATTTCAAGGCGTGATTCATGTTAAGCCAGAACTCTCAGGAATTTCACGAGCTCGCGCAATTTCAGGTGCGCGTCCCCGCCGGTTTAGGGCGCTGCCTCTTTGAGTCAGTAAGCACACCTGGGTGTAGAGCTTGCTCTAAAATTCTTCTGGTTTTCATTCTGGTTTCCCAGCTTAGTCTTAGTTTTTAACACTTACTATCAATACTATCTGATCAGAGTAAGAGACCAAAATGCGACCATTAACAATGATAATAAAATAAATCCTTAACCACCATATTCTTATTTTTCTTTCGTAAAAACATTAGAATATGGCATATTCCTTATAAATGTGACATCTATGCTCTTAAGACAAAACATAAGAATTAAAATCTGTTTCGGAACTTCTTTTAACTTGCCTTAAAACATCAAATGTAATCATTTTGTGGGTTAGCCAATTTTTTAAATATTCAGCATAACTGACCACTAGCTTGTGTTTTAGTAATCATACTAACTACTTTATCAGTGCCTTGCTGGGTTGCCTTTGTTTACACTCAGTCATGCACTCACTCCTTTTCTTATTTCCTTCTTAATAACAGGTCATCACAGCGAAACGAAATGTCAGTTACTCTTTGTTTGCCAGTGGATGCCTTTCCAGCCGCAACTCAAAATTGAGACATGTTTGTGGTAAATTCACAGCTTCAAATTTATGATGTGAATCTACCATTACAGCAAAGATGTTCTAGATCTGGTGATTATTTAAGCAATTTGAGTATAGTGAATACTATATAGTGTTGTGTTCAAGAAATTATTTTAAGAAACCAGCTTAAGATGATTTAAGATTGATAAAAACATGGGGATAATCAGCAACAATAGGCTGTGGTATTCAGCTAAGGGGTCAAAGTAAGTCAAGAAAATATGCTGAATTACATCATTATTGTCTTAGCTGAAAGGAGTGGTACCTGTTGTGGTCGTCTGTTGCTGTAGCTTACCTGGTTCAAGGTTGTATGTTCTTCTGTGGACTCATAAATGGTTATAGACTTTCTATCACCTCAAATCATCTGATCTTTACCATCAACAAGACATTAGGGGAGCGTGGGGCACAAAGTAACGTGGGGTTAAATGTAACATTGAGTTTTAAGGTATTTGCTCAAGGTTAACTATGGCATGCTTCCGAGGTTTTCTCCACAGTGTCAGCAGATGTCTTCCTGCCAATTATTGTAAATATTTTGTCGAAATTTGGATGAGAAACACAGGAGAAGCCATTTTTGCAGCATAAAAGTATTTTTTATTACACTTTATTTTATTATATTTTTTTAAATCGGTAAGTATGAACCTAAAATCTTATATTGTTGTGATCACAGTTTTCTAGGCTAAAAGATGAAACCATTTTGAAAGATATAAGAAACACAGTGACTACTAACCAGTTTTGAGGAAAACATGACACAGCAGGGATAGTTGTAACAGGGTGTTACAATTAAGCCACACACTGCTGGACACCAATTCAACAAACAATTTGTTTGTTTTTTTAATTTTGAGTGTAATGTTGAAAACTTTTTAAATATTTTTTTAAATAGAAAATATTGTGTTAATAGAAAAAATATTTATTGCCCATAATGCAAATAAATGCATTGTATAATACAGATAAATGGATAATAATGCAAATAGATTCAAATGTGTTTATCCAATAAACAAATAAATAAACATACTGTGTTATGTAGAATAAAAAAAAGAAATGAGCCAGGTAAATGTAAATGTACTGAGGAAATATAGCTACTATTTAAAGTAAATTGAATTTAAATTAATTGTGTGAAATCTGCCTTTAAATGCACCAAAACCAAAAAGTGTTACTTTGTGCCCGCTCTCACCTACTCTAAAAAGTAGCTTGTATTGTATGATAGTATGTGAAAATTCCAGTGAATCAGCAGTTCTGAAATACTCAGATCGGCCTGTCAGTCACCAACAACCATGTTACATTTGAAATCAACTAAATCACTTTCTTGCTCATTCTGATGCTCAATTTGACCTTGAGCCGATCATCTTCACAATGTCAACATGCCTAAATGCACTGAATTGCTGTGATTGGTTGATAACAGATGTACCTAATTAAGTAGTAAGTGTAGGTGACACAAGTGACTGATGATGTTAACCAGGGTGTCCCAAGAGCTGCTTCGCAATTCAAAGGCCGCATCCCTCGAAGGCCAAATTCAAAGGCTGATTGCATCACAGCTGCACGACGAACGGTGTCCCAGTTCAAAGCCTCCTTCGAATGCGCCCTACAAATGCGTCCTTCTTTCACCCGGCTGTTCAGGATAGAATGGATAGATTTTTCACAGCCAAGCCTATCCCAAAATTCACAGCACGCCAGTAAGAGCAGGATTGTATCTTTAGCGAAAAATATTAGATTACGCTTTGTAATGTAATACATTTTAGTTTACTTTGATATCTTAAGAAATGTATCATTGTATTATAGCATATCTTATTACAATGCCAACTATTGATAATATTTATAATGTATAAATAAAATAACCAAGCTATATGTTAACATATTTGGGCAAGGTAACCTTTTCACCGTAGTTTTGTTTTTGGGAAGTTTAATGTAATTTTTCAAAGAGGTCCAGTAGGAAACAAGTTGTTGCTAAGTGATACAGCTCTGGGTGGAAGTGAACAACAGCCTATGAACAGCTAAGTGTACTTTCAGAGTTTAGTTCCAACATTAATCAAACATACCTGAACAAGCTCATCAACTTCTTTAGGATTCAAAAAGTTACAGGCAGGTGACTGTGGTCAAAGACTGCATTTCAGTTCAATTTTGATGCCCTACATTCGACTACATTGTACAAGTGTCCAGTACTGGTGGAACATCTGAATGGGTTTAAAGTGGAATGCCCTCAATCTTTGCCATGAGCACTTGGGAACTACACTTTTGAGACATCATGATCCCATTGCAATCTGGGACATATTGATGCTGAAGTGGACATATGAAAGTCACTTATTTGCCTGATCAAAATCAAGGGATTGAGGATATGTCCATGTAACCTTCCCTCATTCACCTGATGAAGTGGAAAACACTTTGAAATGATGGCAGGGATACCCCGAGGAAACAAGGAAAGGGAAGATCGCTGTAATCCAGCCACAGATCAAATGTAACTTTGCAAGTAAGTTGATTTTTAGGGACAGAGCTGGGGACACCTGACGTAAACAATGGTTTTACATTGTATTGCATTGTTTAAATTTAAAATTTAGTAACTGCTCTATAAAAATGTATCATAAATAACATTTAAGATCATTTAAATAAACATCACTTTCAAAATATAATGCTGTGCCAAACTCCCATTAAGAGTAAGTAAAAGTAAAAGTAAAAAAAAAAAAATCATTATAATTATTATGAATCTGTGATCTAAAAATACTTTGGATTACACTGTTGGATTAAAAATGTATTTTGAAATATATTTAAAGTGATAGATAACCCCAAAATACAATGAATAAATGAAAAATGTACTTGTTAATTACTCCCCCTCAGGTAGTTCCAAACTTTTTTGATTTTCTTTCTTCTGTTGAACACAAAATATATTTAAAAAAAAAAACCTGAAAACCTGTAATTATTGACCTCCATGGTAGGAAAATCAAATACAATTTAAGTTAATGATAACAGGATTTCGCTTCCTTCAATATATCTACTATATATATATGAAAGTTAAATCTATTGGTCCTTGCCAAGGACACCCTATACCGACATCCTGAGGTAAGTATTTGAAATGAAACAAAAAGAGAATGGGATATATCAGATGTAATCTAATTGGCTTTCTTTAACACCTGTCTTTCATACAAATAGCCACTTGGGCACTTTTACCCCACTTTGCTGCAGGTATTTAAAACCTTTGACAGCCAGTTCTTCCATTTTACTTTTAAAGTAGCAAACTAACATACTGTATCAATGAAAAGGTTTAAATGGATTCTATTTAGACCTTATATAATGCCACCATCAGAGTCCTACCAATATTAAACTTTGCTTATTTTCTCAGACAATAAAGTCTTTGTTGACTTTCATTTTTTTCTCTAAAATGTAATTGATTTCCTAATTACTTATAACTTTCAACTAATTTAATCTGGTGGTAATCAACCATCATACCTGAAACTTTTATATTAAAGAGTTACCAAGCAGCTGAGCATAGACCAGGCGAGATAAGCAATAGCAGTTTTAAAAGCATGCAAATCCACCTCAGAGACATCATCATGATGATACAGTATAGCCAAATTACTCCACACAGGAATAAATTGAGCTGTCTTGCAGCTTATTGCCCAAGCGGTTTAATGAAATTAAAGATTAGCATTGCAGTAAATTGCTTCTAATATAAAAATCGACAATGACATAACTGGGGTTTTTGTGTATTAGTCTAATTTACAATGTTTTACAAAAAATCCATTTAATGCCACCTAATTGAGGCCCCCTGTGTGGTTTGCCTGGTTGTGATCAGGCATTAAGTTGATTTGGGAAGTGCCTTGACTACAGTGTGATGTCTTATTAGTTTTGTTCTGAAATATGTGTGTGGGTGGCCACAAGTTCACTCAGGCTTTGTTTCTAGATTGTTAACTGAGTCTTCCAATGAGAACCCATGAGATAATTTGACAAAGAGACAAGAGTGGGGGTATTTGTGTGTTCTGCTGTCATCACTCTGATTCAGAAACTAATCAGGGCTGACTGTACCTTAACCTTCTGCTAGACAAAAATAGATTTCTCTATAACCCACAGCCCCCTCTATGACATCAGAGGACTGGTTGGAAGGTATAGCCTTCATAAATCATAGAGGTGTTGCCCACCGATTTCGCCACTGATTTCATTTCAAAGCGAGTAAAAGAAATTATATTTAACATTATGTTTATCATTTCTGCATAAAATGTTGTGTAATTTAAAAAGACATTTAACAAATGCAAAAATGCGAAATTGTTAATAGAAAACAGTTTACATATTTAAAAAAAACAGATAGTACTTTGGATTATGCATAATAATTTCACATTTTTGACGGTCACCAATATTTTTGAACATGCACATGAAAAGACACCATTCAAAATATATGTAATTCCTGAAC